ACAGAGTTTCAGTTTTACAAGATGAAAAGAGTTCCTGAGCTTGTTGGCACAACTTTGTGAATGTACTTAACACTACTGAACTGTACACTTAAAAATGGTTAAGACGGTCAATTCTATGCTATGTTTATTTTACCACAATTAAAAATAAAAATCAAATAGACTTGTATCCAGGAAATCTAAAGAATTCTCAAAACTCAATTTCAGGGGGCGCCTGGGTGGCTCAGATGGTTAAGCGTCTGCCTTCAGCTCAGGTCATGATCCCAGGGTCCTGGGATGAAGCCCCACATCGGGCTCCTCTCCCTCTGCCTCTCCCCCTTGCTTGGGCTCTCTCAAATAAATTAAAAAAAAAAAACTCTTAAAAAAAACCTTGATTTCAGTAAGAAAGAAGGCAATTCAATAAAAAATGGGCAATAGATTTTAACAGCTAACTTTTCCAAAGAACATACATGAATGGCAAACACATGAAAGGATACTCAACATCAGTAGTCTTAAGGAAATGCACATTAGAACTATAATAGGGTACCACTACTCACCTACTAGAATGTCAAAATTAAAAAGACCAACCAGGGTTGCCTGGTTGGCTCAGTCAATTAAGCGTCTGCCTTCGGCTCAGGTCATGATCCCAGGGTCCTGGGATCGAGCCCCACGTCGGGCTCCCTGCTCAGAGGGGAGCCTGCCTCTCCCTCTCCCTCTGCCGCTCCTCCTGCTTGTGCTCTCTCGCTCTCTCTGTCAAATAAATAAAATCTTTAAAAAATAAATAAATAAAAATAAAAGACCAACCACACTAAGTGTTGGTGAGGATGTGGTGCAATAGGGACTCTCATACACTGCTGGTGTGGGTGAAACACAATACAGCCATATTGGAAAATGGTTTGGCATTTTTAAAAAATTTAAAATTCATCCAGTCATTCCACTCCAAGAAAAAAGAAAACATATGTCCATATAAAGACTTGTGCATGAATGTTCACTGCAGCTTTAGTTGTAATAGAAACAAATGGAAACAACCCAAATGCTCATCAACAGGTGGCTGGATAAACATTGGTGTATTCAAATAATGGAATCTACACAGCAATAAAAAGGAATAAAGTAGGACGCCAGGCTGGCTCAGTTGATAGAACATTCGGCTCTTGATCTCAGGGTTGTGAGTTCAAGCCCCACGTTGGGTGTAGAGATTATTTAAAAATGAAACCTTTTAGGGGCGCCTGGGTGGCTCAGTTGGTTAAGCGTCTGTCTTCGGCTCAGGTCATGATCCTGAAGTCCTGGGATCGAGCCCCGCATCGGGCTCCCTGCTCAGTGGGGAGTCTGCTTTTCCTTCTCTCTCTATCCCTCCCTCTGATCCTTCTGTCTCTCTCTCTCTCGCTCACTCTCTCTCAAATAAACAAAATCTTAGAAAAAAATAAAATCTTTTAAAAATAAACAAATAAATGAAAAAAATTAAAGAAAAAGTAGTGAAGTGCTGATACATGATACTGAATGCAAAATCTCAAAATAATTATGCTGAGTGACAGAAGCCAGATAAAAAGGAGCACACAGCATATGTTCCCTTTTATATACAATTCTAGAAAATGCAAACTAATCTATAGTGACAGAAAGCAGATGAGTGGTTGCCTGGTTGGGGGGGAGGTGAGAGTGTACAAAAGGAGGAAGAAGACAGAAGATAGGAAGGGCAGGAAGAATCTTTTGAGGGCGAAGGACATGCTTATTATTTTAATTGTGGTGATGGTTTGGGCGCCTGGGTGGCTCAGTCGTTAAGCATCTGCCTTTGGCTCAGGTCATGATCCCAGGGTCCTGGGATCGAGCCCCACACTGGGCTCCCTGCTCGGCAGGAAGCCTGCTCTGCTTCTCCTACTCCCCCTGCTTGTGTTCCTTCTCTCACTGTGTCTCTCTCTGTCAAACAAATAAATAAAATCTTAAAAAAAAGGAAAGTTAAAAACAAATTAAAAAATCGTATTAGTACTTGTTAAATTGCTCTGGAAAAAAAAGCTGTATCAGTTTCACTCACTTTAAACCTGTTCGAGAGAGGTTTATTGTTCCACAGCCCCGTGACGGTGGGTGCATTAAATGCCATCCAAGATGCAGAAGATGGTTGTTTAATTCATACTCATATCAGTGTAAGCCCAAGTCATTTCAGGCTTTGGTGAAACATTGTTATTTCTTCTTTGAAGTACCTGCTTATAAGCTTTGCTGTCTTACCTCCTTCAGATGTTTTTTTACATGTTACCTCAGAGCAGCTTTCTGGACCCCACTATTTAAAATTCCACTACCCTGGGCGCCTGGGTGGCTCAGTCAGTTGAGCATCTGCCTTTGGCTCAGGTTATGATCTCAGGGTCCTGGGATCGAGCCCCGCGTCAGGCTCCCTGCTCAGCGGGGAGCCTGCTTCTCCCTCTGCCTGCAGGTCCCCCTGCTTGTGCTCTCTCACTCTATCTGTAAAATAAATAAATAAAATCTTTAAAAAACAAACTCCATATATGTTAGGAAGATTCACATTTTATCACAAAGGGTGTGTATGTTTTCCCCTACTGATGTTTTTCTTTTACTTTGCCACATTGAGATTTTAAATTTTATGTAGTTATTTATCTGTCTTATCTTTCATGGCTTCTGGGTCTTGTGTTTCCCTTCCCTAAGATTATAAACACTTTTCTATATATTCCTTCTAATCCCATAGATTTTCCCCTTGCAGAGCTCTAATTCATCTAGAATTTGTTTTTGTGTCAGATGTGAGATAGAAATAGGACTTTGATGGTTTGGGCGCCTGGGTGGCTCAGTTGGTTAAGTGACTGCCTTCGGCTCAGGTCATGATCCCAGGGTTCTGGAATCGAGCCCCGCATCGGGCTCCCTGCTCAGTGGGAAGCCTGCTTCTCCTACTCCCCCTGCTTGTGTTCCTTCTCTCACTGTGTCTCTCTCTGTCAAACAAATAAATAAAATCTTAAAAAAAAGGAAAGTTAAAAACAAATTAAAAAATCGTATTAGTACTTGTTAAATTGCTCTGGAAAAAAAAGCTGTATCAGTTTCACTCACTTTAAACCTGTTCGAGAGAGGTTTATTGTTCCACAGCCCCGTGACGGTGGGTGCATTAAATGCCATCCAAGATGCAGAAGATGGTTGTTTAATTCATACTCATATCAGTGTAAGCCCAAGTCATTTCAGGCTTTGGTGAAACATTGTTATTTCTTCTTTGAAGTACCTGCTTATAAGCTTTGCTGTCTTACCTCCTTCAGATGTTTTTTTACATGTTACCTCAGAGCAGCTTTCTGGACCCCACTATTTAAAATTCCACTACCCTGGGCGCCTGGGTGGCTCAGTCAGTTGAGCATCTGCCTTTGGCTCAGGTTATGATCTCAGGGTCCTGGGATCGAGCCCCGCGTCAGGCTCCCTGCTCAGCGGGGAGCCTGCTTCTCCCTCTGCCTGCAGGTCCCCCTGCTTGTGCTCTCTCACTCTATCTGTAAAATAAATAAATAAAATCTTTAAAAAACAAACTCCATATATGTTAGGAAGATTCACATTTTATCACAAAGGGTGTGTATGTTTTCCCCTACTGATGTTTTTCTTTTACTTTGCCACATTGAGATTTTAAATTTTATGTAGTTATTTATCTGTCTTATCTTTCATGGCTTCTGGGTCTTGTGTTTCCCTTCCCTAAGATTATAAACACTTTTCTATATATTCCTTCTAATCCCATAGATTTTCCCCTTGCAGAGCTCTAATTCATCTAGAATTTGTTTTTGTGTCAGATGTGAGATAGAAATAGGACTTTACTTTTTTTATTTTAAATGATAGCCAACTGTCTGCAATTTTCTTAACATACCATTTGTGTTTTTCCTTGTCTTCCTAACCAACATTTTACAGGGCTGGCTGATATTCTTTTTTTTTTTTTTTTTTAAGATTTTATTTCTTTATTTGACAGAGAGAGAGAGTGAACACAAGCAGGGGGAGCAGCAGAGGCAGAGGGAGAAGCAGGCTCCTCGCTGAGCAGGGAGCCCTATGCAGGACTCTATCCCAGGACCCTGGGACCATAACCCCAGCTGAAGGCAGAGGCTTAATGTCTGAGCCACCCAGGCGCCCCTGGCTGATACTCTTTTTATCTGGAAAAATATTCTTTTCCTGTTGTGCAATTATGACATTTATTTATTTCTTGTATTTCATACAAGAACTTAATCTTTGTATTCTACAGAAACATTTAGCTCAGTATCTAGTACACAAGTGGGAGTGGAAATCGTGGGACTGGCAAATAAAGGGGCAGATCTGTGCGCGGGCTTCATGGAGCGGAGAAGTCCTGAGAGCTGGAGGGTGGGTTTGAGGTTTCCCAGTCGGGGGACAAAGTTTTCACCCATCAGTGGATAAATTTAAAAAGAAAAAAGAAAAAAAAGAATTATGCACATATGCGCACATATGTGTAGAGAAAATCATTGTGAGGCTGCCAACTGTCTTTTCTCAGGAAGGATCCTGAAATCTTGGCTTTCTTTTTCTATTCTGATACGGTAAATCTCATGTTCATCAACTCCAAAAGCCAAGGAAACACTGAACTATAGTCCTGCTCATCCTTCCGATAGTTACTGAACCCGTTATGGAGCCATCTGCTCAGCGTGGGCACTGTTGTCTTAGGCGTCGAGGACTCAGCAGTGAAAACACCCGCCTGGAGGCCTGGATAGTTTAGCAGGGAAGGTCCACATTTCCGAAACAATGACGCCACAGTTCATGGCCGGCGAGGGCCGGGTAAGGAAGAGGACAGGGTGACAGGTATACGGCATAGATGGAAACTGAGGCCCAGGGAAGCGCAAAGAATAGGCCTCGGGCGCACGGTCTGCGCGTCCTTAACTTGGGAGGCGGGGCCCGTGGGTCGGATGGGGGCGGGGGCAGGGGCAGGGGCAGGGGCGTGCTCCAGGCACCCCCGGGGCCCGACCGCGGCTGTGGGGGGAGGGGCGGCACGTGAACGGGGCGGGGCCGGGATGAGGGGGCGGTGCGGTGCTAGACGGAACGCGCGCGTCCGCGTCTGCGTTTCCGGTCGGAGGCCTTTGCAGAGAGCCCCGCGTCCCTAGGGGGCGGCGGTGGCCGTGGAGGCGGCGGAGGCAGCGGGGGGATCCGGAAGTCAACACCATGTCGAGTCTGCACAAGAGCAGGTGAGGGCCGCGGGGGCCGACCCAGCCACACCAGTCCTCGTCAGGCCGCCCCGTCTGCTTTGCAGAGGGGGGCGCAGGTGCGGCCAGGAGTCGGGGACCCCCTCCTCCCGGTAGAGGGTCTCGGGCGCCCACTTTCCAACCTCATTGCCTGCGGGCCAGAGAGGGCACGGAGCGGAGGCACCTCTTCTGCTTCCCGGTGTCACCCTATCTCTCTCTCCCTCATCCTGGACCCCGGGTTTCCCTCTTCCCCTCGGGTCTTCCTCATCCAGGGCCTCGATGCCCTGTTCCCCAGCTCCCCATCCCCCACACCCCCCGTTTTTGTCTCCCCTGTTAATTCTCTGCCCCAGTACCCTCCCCTCCAAATGCTTCCCGTCCGCATGGCCCGTTTCTTACAAGGCAAGTTGGAGAACGTGGATTCTCCACTCTCCCCTCCCTCAGGCCAAATCCCGCAGCACCGGCCAAATTTTGCTCACTCTTCAATTTTCCTCCACGATTTGTTCTTTAAACCTTTTGTCCTTGCCTGCGGGTGAGACCAGAGGTCTTCTAATGGTTATATTTTTGAGCCTGGAGAGCTGCGTGCCAATTACACAGGCCCGTTGTCTAGGGATCATGTTACTCCTGGTTCTTAGGGTTCCTTGAGTTCAGATAGTGGCCCTGTGGGCTGGGTCTGGCCAGCAGGAAGTGCTCAAGAAATGCTAGCTCACTAAATATTAGAAATGTGTCTTAATTTCATGATGTTCATTTGAGAACCTCTAGACAAGAGTCTTTCTATTATGTTTCTGGGTTTGAAGAAGTAATCTGTAGTTCTATCGTTTCCACAAAGATGCCTTTGGCCAGGACCTTGACTGAGCTTTGCTGTTTTTCTGTCCTGAAGGGATGGGGGGAACAGGTTGAAGACTGGTGATATGAGAGCTTTGGGCTTCAGGAGTGATCGCGAAGTCTGTCACGGTGGGGTTTGGGTGTGCTTCACTTGCCTCCCCATCCCACCTTCTAGGATTGCAGATTTCCACGATGTCCTGAAGGAGCCCACCATCGCCTTGGAAAAGCTTCGGGAACTCAGTTTTAGTGGTAAGCGGCAGCTCTCCGGGTTCAGGGTTTCCCTAGAGCAACATTTTGTGTGGTTAGAATGGAGGGGAAGGTACCCAAGGCCACACCTGGTCAGTTCTGGGGGCCAGGCTGCCACCTGGGGCCTTCTCCAGATTCTGTGACTCTGGAACAACCCTTGACAACCCTGACCGTCAAGGGCATGCCTGTGGGCCCTGGATGTTTCCTGGCGTTTAAGTGGTGCTTGCTGCTTGCTGCTTGCCGAGCGTAACTGGAGAGGGCTGAACGCAGGAGGCTGGGAGGCTGGAGCCACTGCAGTGTCTTCCTCACTCCTCAGCAAACTTCCTGTGTTATAAAATTTGGTTAGCTGCGGAGCGGTTCCTGGTTCTCTCCCAGGCTTGGATATCAAAGCTGACTCAGGCGATTGTGAACTTTTGTTAAGGCCTTGAGACTCTGACTCTAGGAGCTGAACTTCAGCAGTGTTTGACTTTGCCCTCCCCGGCCTGGTTACCCTTCCTGCACAGAGATTTTTGCTTATCTTTTAAAATACCCTAAGGTGTTCTGTGCAGGTTCTTGTTAACTGCTCGGTCCTTGTGACTTTGTCAGCAAGGAATTCTTGAGTTGCTTTTCTCCTCCCCGTACAGATTCTGAGGTGGGGGCACTAGCTCCTGATCACGGTATTCGGGGTCCTAGAGCAGCAGCTGCTTTAGCGAGCTTCCTGACAGTATTGCAGGAGGAGTTTGTTTTTTTGTTCAGGAGTGGTATTTAGACCCCGAAGACCTTGAGGGGTCATGGGATGTGTATTTGAAGAATCTACCAGGCCTCGGGGGAGCCATTCCGGGGGAGTGGTTGAGTTTGGGCTGTGGAGTTAAGACAGACCTGTGTTTGACTCCTTGAGTGCTCTGTCATTACAGATAGGTTTCTTTATTTGAAAGATGAGGACAACGATGCTAATCTTTCCTATTTACTAGAGTTCCAGTGAGGATTAAGTGAAGTAGTGTCCATAAGGCACAAAGCACTTTCCATTTATAGCTTAATTTATGTTCCGCAAATATTTATGGTATGCTTTCTGTGTGCTGTGCCCTGTGCTAGGGACGGGGACTATAAGACACATATGGCTGTTGTCTTTCTGGGGCTTACTCAGTGGTCGAGGTTACAGATGTTAAATAAATACACAAACTATGTTATACAGTCCCGATTGTGATGGACACTATGAAGGAGAAGTCACGGAACCATTATCGTTCGTAACAAGAGATCTGACTTTGATTGGGAAGAGGTGGTGGTGGGTAAACGTTGCTCTGAGGAATGAGAAGGTGTTATCCTCAAAAGAACATTCCACACACAGGGAGCTCTGGGCTGGAGGCAAGGGTCATACGGAGAAATACACAGGATTAGCATCCAGTCCAGTCATCTTTCTGACAGAAAATGATCCTTGAGGAAGTACTTCTTGCCCACTCCATTCCCTGCCAACTGGCTCTGAGGTGGAGGACTGGGGGGTCCGGGGACTCTGGCCTGGGGCGTGACTCTTGCCTGCTGTGTCCACAGGCATCCCCTGTGAGGGCGGACTGCGGTGCCTCTGCTGGAAGGTGGGTGTGCCTGGGCTGGGGCGTCTGCTCTGCCGAGAGTCCTTGGGTTCCTGCATGGGCTGCCCCCACCCCGGCTCCTCCTTCTTGTTCTGCGCCTTTCCTTGCTTGTTTGAGGAAACTTTTCTGGGAAGTTGTGGGTTTTCTGTTCTTCTTGGCGTTCCCTCCAGGATCCCCTTGGGGATGGAACGCTTTGTAGTGCCAGTGAAGTCTTCTTCTTCCTGGTCCATACAGTGCAGCAGAAGTGATGCTTAATGGGACCAAAAAAAAGGCCATGCTCTACCCATGGCTCTTAGCTGAGGTGGGAGCCAAAGACCAGTGTCTGGGTTTCCAGCCTCTTTGAGCAGCAGGTTTGATTATCATTTGGAAGAGTCTGTGTGAAGAAAAGCAGTGGAAAGGGCTGGTTTGGGGTAAAGGAGGAGGGAGGCAATGGAGAGCAAAGGGGAGGCTACCCCCAGCCCACGCCTCCATTCGTGGGTTTCAGCCCATCTGGTCTTCTCTGGGCTTTATTAGACGTTTTCCTTGAGGCTGGTCAGCTTCCGTCTACTGTCTGGGGTTGAACTGGAGAGTTGCCAGAGCTTTGTTCCTCTCCCTCTGTGCAGATTCTATTGAACTACCTCCCCTTGGAAAGAGCCTCATGGACCTCCATCCTGGCCAAGCAGAGGTGAGACCATGAGAAAGGGGGATGACAACAGGTCTCGCCTCCTGTTACTTCTCTGGTCCAGGCTTCCTGGACGGGACCTTTGGGATCATCCGTCTCTCCTCTTCTCTTCCACAGGGAGCTATATTCTCAGTTCCTGAGGGAAATGATTATCCAGCCTGGCATTGCCAAGGCCAACATGGGTGTGTCCAGGGAGGATGTAACCTTTGAGGACCATGTGAGTAAGGGTGGCAGCAGGGACGGAGGCTACAGAGTAGGGAGAGGTGCAGGCTCTGGAGCTGGCAGGTCCCCCCAACCCCAGAGGACAGGTGTAGCCAATGTGGGTCCCCTCCTTTCTGCATCGGGCTGCTCGGCCCATGAAGGCTGTTGTCTCTCCCTTCTGTTTCCCAGGCCCTGGACCCAGTGAGGAATGTAAGTCATAGCTTAGGCTCTGAGTGTGTGCGTAGCACTGAGCCTCGTCCTCCGTGTGGGCTCTGTCTCCTTTCCTCCTCACCTCCGTTCCCTGGGGAAGGTTTTGGTTTTATAGTTGAAGAAAGAGCAGGGCAGGAGTGAGAAGAGACTATCTTCCCGTGGCCTGGAGGAAGCCTGATTCTCTCCTCAAATACGGAGCCCCTCCCCGTGTGCAGGAGGTGGGGATGGATGGACCCAGGCCCATGCTCCGAGGATTAGGGTAGGCGATTCAGAGCGTTGATGAATCAGATTCGAAGAGACCTAGTGAGACAGCGTGCATTCACTCAGCAAGCGTTGGGCAGCGCCTGGTGTAGGCAGTGTTGGAGAGCGGCAGCCGCAGACGGAAAGGACGCTCCCTGGCCAGCAGGGGTGTCGTCAGAGCAGACTGCAGGGCTCTGCTTGGAGTTCGGACATGGCGTGGGAGGCTCCCCGCGTAGCTCACAGGCTGTCTCAGAACCTCAGTGGGGCCTCTGGTGGGATTGTGGGTTCGGGGCCTCTGCTCAGGCCCCCAGACTGGGGTCTGCCCCCTGACGTCCTAGTCGGACCTGGGACAGAGCAGCTGATTCTCTCCCCACAGCCGCTCAACCCCAACCCTGACAGCCGGTGGAACACGTACTTCAAGGACAACGAGGTGCTGCTGCAGATTGACAAGGACGTCCGGTAAGCGGGGCCCTGGGGGTCAGGGGCTGGCCCATGGGACTGTTGGGGAGTTTCCCAGTCCTGTGGTTTCCGGCCCACGCCCACAGGTGGATGTTTGAGGAACTGGTGGGTCATCCAGTAGGTGGGTCCAGGCCCTAGTGATGTTGGCCTGTGAATGGGGCTGGCAAGTGAGGCGAGTGCCTGACGCTCTTTTCTCCCTGCTTCAGTGGCATTGGTGCCCTAGGCGTGTATGGGTTCATCTGACCGTCCCTGGAGCAGATACTGAGGCCCTACTATATGGCAGGCTCCATGCCAAGCTCCGGGTTGAGCATGGAGTCGACAGACATGGTCCCTCTTAGGAGCTTAGAACCTGGTGGGGAGGACGGGAAGACAGTCGTTCAGCAACACAGATCTTCTGAGTAATTAGCGTCTGTGGTAAATGCTCTGAGGGGAGAGTTCAGGGTGCTTTAAGACTTAGGGGGAAGCTGGGACGCCTGGGTGGCTCAGTTGGTTAAGTGTCTACCTTCGGCTCAGGTCATGATCCCAGGGTCCTGGGATCGAGCCCCGCATCAGGCTCTTTGCTCCACGGGAGCCTGCCTCTCCCTCTGCCTGCCGCTCTGCCTACTTGTGCTTTCTCTCTCTGTCTCTTTGTCAAATAAATAAATAAAATCTTAAAAAAAAAAAAAAAGACTTTGGGGGAAGCCTTGGCTGAGGTCTCAGGAGTGGGAGGCCTTGGGGAAAGAGGGAGGGAAAGGTTGTGGTTGGGGGAGCTGCCTGCAGGAAGGCCGTGGTCAGCCCACAGAAGCACGTTCGAGGAGCAGTGTGAAGGCCAGTGTGCTTGAAGCCACACTAGAGGGAGGCAGGGGTTGGACCTTGGACTTGATCCCGAGGACATGGGGCAGTCGTGCAAAGGTTTTAAGCATAGGAGTGACAGGGTCAGATGTGTGTTTTTTGAAAAATTAGCTACGGTGTGTATGTGGGTGTGCTTTTCCACTTGGCAGAGAAATGTGGAAACATGCTTGTGCTGTCCTGTGGGGTTGGCGGGTCTGGCAGCAGGCGAGATCTCCCACAAGGCCGCGTGAGGAGCTGGAAGGGAGGCTTGTCTGCAGTGGGGCTGAGTGGTTGGAGCTAGGGTTCTGGAGTCTGTTTTCCTGGTTTCAGTTCTGCCTTCATCGGGTGTTAGCTGTGTCCCCAGGCCCTGGACACCCTGGGTGCTGCTCTGTCTCTGCTCATTTTGCCCAGGCCCATCTTCAGAAGGCCCCAGTGGACACCCAGCCCAGCGCGGCTCAGCCACGATGCAAAAGGGCTCGTTTCCTGCATTCTCAGGCTGGTGTTGGGGCAGCCTCTGTCCACAAGGCATCTTAACATTTGGGAGTCAAGAACCACATCTTGAACCCGGTTCTAGAGAAACAGGTTCTGTCTCATGCTGGTAGCGATGGTAGCATGTTGCTCAGTGTTTCTGGAGGGCAAGTTTGCAATGTGCTGTGTGTAAGAAGTCTGGAAGATGTGCCTCCGCTGCCGTACGTACACGAGAAAAACTTGGTGCCCTAAACTCACACTGGTTATACCTTAACCTCAGTTACACCTCAGACCGGAAACAAAACAAAACCAACTCAGTCACAATCTAGAAACCGTCTCCCACCTTGATTTTTCCTCTCCTTCTGTCTTGGACATCTTCCTGTGTCAGCTGTATATGCTGTCCTGTTGTACAATATGCAGTGTAGCCATTTCAAACCACACTACATTGAACACTCTGTGCATATTAGATAATTTTTTAAAGATTTTATTTATTTGGCGCCTGGGTGGCTCAGTCGTTAAGCGTCTGCCTTCGGCTCAGATCATGGTCCCAGGATCCTGGGACAGAGGCCGAGCTGGGCTCTCTGCTCAGCAGGGAGCTGCTTCTCCCTCTCCCTCTGCCTGCGACTCCCCCTGCTTGTGCACCCTCTCTCTCTGTCAAATAAATAAATAAAATCTTTTTAAAAAAAATATTTTATTTATTTATTAGCGCATGCGTGCGCGCACGCACAAGCAGGGGGAGTGACAGGCAGAGGAAGATGTAGGCTCCCTGCTGAGCAAGGAGCCTGATGTGGAACTAGATCTCAGGACCCTGGGATCGTGACCTGAACTGAAGGCAGACGCTTAACTGACTGAGTCATCGAGGCGTCCCTAGATAAATATTTTTGATGTGGAGAGATGTTTGTGGTTTAAGAGAAGAGTTGGATTATAAGACCATAAGGACACTTAAAAAATTTATATGTGTATCTATTTGCAGATAACACATAAGAATATGGGTATATTTTTGCGTGTGTGTGTATGTGTGTGTATACATATATAACAAGTGTATTGCTCTTTAAAAAACTAAACTTTTAAAAATAAAATGTTATTTTTTAAAAAACACAGAAAAACATGCCTCTTGGGATACGGGAGCACGCCCCGCAGTAGGGTGCTGATGGAACGCCCCAGACCCCCACCCCGAGTAACAGGACTCTCCCCTCTTCCCTCTTGACAGGAGGTTGTGCCCAGACATATCTTTCTTCCAGAGAGCCACCGAGTACCCCTGCCTCCTTATCCTGGACCCCCAGAATGAGTTCGAGACCCTTCGAAAGCGGGTGGAACAGACAACACTGAAATCCCAGACAGTGGCCCGGAACCGGAGTGGAGTCACAAATGTGAGAGCCAACCCGGGGGCCCCAGGGACTCCCTGCGACAGCCTTTTCCTCCAGGCTTCCCATGGAGCCCTGGCCACTGGCCGTCGGGCCTGTCACCGTCTGCCCTGGCAGTTACCCAGAGTGACTCTGGGTAACATGGTTCTGCCGGGTCCCTGCCTCTGGGACTCTTTCTGCAAGTCAGGTGTCAAAAGCTGGGTGTAAGGGGTGCTGGGGGAGGGCACTGCTGTGCGGTGAAGGAGCAGTGGAGGAGATGGCTCTTGAAAAAGTAATTACACGTTGATGGGAAAGTGGTGGGAGCAGTGATGGTGGTGGGGAGCTGATCGGGCCTGGGTGTCCAGCCCTGAGGAGGTGACATTTAAGCTGAGCATCCAAGAACTAGGAGGAAAGCTCATTCCAGGCGGAGAGGGGGGTATAGTGGAGGCTTCAGGCAGGAGAGAGCATGGAATAGTGGGGTGCCGCCTGGCTAGAGGCAGGCTCCTGGAGGATGCTGGCCAGATCAGTGGTGGTGAGGCTGCCTATGGGGCCTTTGTTCTGAGGGCTGGAGAGCTTTGCAGCATTCTAGGCAGGCCAGTAACATGATTCGAGTCTGCCTTTGTAACAATTGCCGTGGTCCCTGTGGGGCTATTGATCGGGGAGTAGAATGGAGGTTGGGAGGCAGCTGCCTTGTCCAGGCAAAGGCGGGTGAGGGCCAGGGTAGAATGGGGGGGTGGGTAGAGCTGAGAGACTTAGGAGCTAGAATTTTTTTTTTTTTTTTTAAGATTTTATTTTTTTAAGGAATCTCTACACCCAGCGTGGTACTCAAATTTACAACCCTGAGATCAAGAATCACATGCTCTGCTGACTGAGCCAGGCAGGTGCCCCAGGAGCTAGAACTGATAGGACCTGTGCTGGCCAAGTCATGCTGAGCATTTGAATCCCATTCTTCTAGCAGATTCCGTAACTCTGAGAAGCTGCCTGTAGCCAGATGAAGCATATTATCTTATTCCTTAATTTACACCTATGCTTTGGTACGTGTAACTCCCAGCTTGTTCCTCAAAACTTGCCATTGTCCTCCAACAGTGGAAAAATCCTTCTCTGTAATCTCCACAAGCTAGTGATAGATAATATTGCAGAAGCTTTTGTCCCCCCAAGTAGAATGAGTGATCAAGTCTCTGTGTCTCTAGGAGAGCAGCCATTTTCTGCTACAGGGGTGACAAGGGCAGTTATAGCTGATCGCAGGGTCCCCCGTGCCTAGGACAGAGTTTTGTGGGCCGGAGGGCGCAGAACGCATGGTTCTGTGGGCAACTCTTTTACTGCTGATGTCCTGGCTACAGGGCAAGGTGGGGACCTGACTTCATTCATTTCACTATAGTAATTGGGGTCTGAGAGCCAAGCTCTTAGCCACTTTAGGTTTCGATCTGGTCCTGGTGGCAGAGAACCTGACCAGAGGCTTCATTCCTGGACCTCGGGGCCTGTGGTTGGACAGTTCAAGTTGACCACCCATCTGACTTTGGGGCAGTAATACCGGCTCACCTTCCTGGGCCTCCGTCTCCTCTTCTATAAATTGGGCATAATCATTTCTATCCTGGCTTTTGAATTGCCAAGAGGATGAAATGAGGTCATGGCTGTGCAGATTTTTGGAAGGCTGGAAAGCACTTCTTTGAGGTCTTGGCCTCAGGCTCTGGAGTCAGTCAGTCTGAGTTCGAGTGCTAGTGCCACCATGTGATGCGAGCCTTGATGAGTGACCTGACGTTCTTTTTTTTTTTTTTTAGATTTTACTTATTTATTTGAGAGAGGGAGAGTGAGAGAGAAAGAGAGCATGAGCAGGGGGAGGGGCAAAGGGAGAGGAAACAGCAGACTCTCAGGACCCTGAGATGATGACCCGAGCCAAAGTCAGATGCTTCACCGACTGAGCCACCCAGGCGCCCCGAGTGACCTAACATTTCTGAGCCTCAGTTTCCTCATCCTGAAAATAATGCTGAGAAGATATTGTAGATTGTACAGAGGATTTAATGGCGGAATTCTTGTAGAGCACCGTCTTGCACTTAGAAAGCTCTCAGTAAATGTTGGTGATGTGTGCGTGAGTACACGTGTACACACGTGTATATGATGGGAGACGGACTTTGTCTTCAGGACCCTGTGTTCTAGGATGGCAGCATACGCTGTACCTGCCTGCATTGGCCTGTAGCTCTCTCGCACTGGGAACTCCAGGCACCTGAATCTTTGCAGAGCCCCTGAGGCTTCTGCTGACACCCCTGCTGGAGACCTCGGCTCCGGTGCATGAAGATCCCCCCTGTAGCAGGGATCCTCTTACGTTTATCTCCCAACTTTTTTTTTTTTTTTTTTTTAAGATTTATTTTAGAGAGAGAGAGAGTGAGAGACAGTATGTGCATGCATTCAGGGGAGGTACAGAGGAAGAGGAAGAGACTCTCAAGCAGACTCCCTGCTTAGCACGGAGCCTGATGTGGGGCTGGATCCCACAACCCTGAGATCACGACCTGAGCTAAAACCAAGAATTGGATGCTTAACTGACTGAGCCACCCAGGCTCCCCCCGCCAACTTTTTCTTAATGAAAAATCTGAGGAGTGCCTGACTGGCTCAGTCGGTAGAGCATGTGACTCTTGATCTCAGGGTTGTGAATTCGAGCCCCGCACTGGGTCTAGAGATGACTTAAATAAATAAAACTTAAAAAAAAAAAAAAGGAGAATCTGAAACTTCCAGAAAAGCTGAAAGAAGAGTACAATGCCCAACTATATACTTCCCACCTAAATTCAACAGTTGTTAACTTTTTGCCGAATTTGTGGGTATATTCTGTATAGATAAAGTTGCACATGCCCTGACCCTCACCCCCAGGTGTTTCAGCAGGCATCTCCTGGGAATGAGGACATCCTCCTCACCACCATCACATCTATGAAGATTAACAGTAATTCCATACTAACACCCAATATTCAGTCCATGATCAGATGGTCCTCCGTGGTGCTGAGAATATTTTTGTTGTTTGACTTCCCAACCAGGACCCAGTCAAGGTGTATGTGTTGCGTTGGGACGTTACGTTTCTGTAGTCTTCTGATCTGGAGGCAGCCTCCACTCTCCCCCCAACCATAGTATTTGACTTTGTGAAGAGTCTGGGCCAGTTGTCTGTTTTTGACATATTTAAAGGTTTGTTCTTGGTTTTTTTGTTTTGTTTTTGTTTTTGATTTATTTATTTCAGAGAGAGAGAGCACAAGCACGTCATGTGAGCGAGTCGGGGGAGGGGCAGAAGGAGACAAGCAGACTCCCTGCTGTGCAGGGAGTCTGACCCACAGCCGATGCAGGGCTTGACTCCAGGACCCCAAGATCATGACCTGAGCCGAACTCCAGAGTTGTGTGATTAACCAACTGAGCCCCCCAGGTGCCCCTATTTAAAGGTTTTTTTAAAAAGTAAAGTATGGGGCTCCTTGGGGGCTTAGTCAGTTAAGCATCTGCCTTTGGCTCAGGTCATGATCTCAGGGTCCTGGGATCGAGCCCTGCATCGGGCTCTCTGTTCAGCGGGGAGTCTGCTTCTCCCTCTGCCTCTGTGATCCCTCTCCCTCTGTGGTTGCTTTCGTTCTCTCTCAAATAAATAAAATTAAAATAATAAATAAAGTATAACTTACATGCAGTAAAATGCACAGATCTAAAGTATACAACTGGATGAACTTTTTCTTAGTATATACCTTGTAACTGCCAACCCAGTCAAGACACTGAACATTTCCATCATCCAGAATGTTCCTTAATGTCCCTTCCTAGTCAGTACGCCCTCACCTCAGAGGTAAGCATTGTTGTAGCTTTTATCACCATAAATTAGACTTCAGTCCAACTGTCTTGTGGAATATCCCACATTCTGGATTTGTCTGCTCATTTTTCCTCCAATGGTATTGGACACGTTCTGCTTTGCTATGTATTCCCCATAAGCTGGAAGTTGAGTCTAGGCTGAATGGCAAAACATTTCTGGTGAGAACACATTATCTGTCATGCCACCCACCTTACGGGCTCCTCTCCTCCCGCAGATGAGCTCCCCACACAAGAACTCTGCGCCGTCATCCCTGAATGAGTATGAGGTGCTGCCCAACGGCTGCGAGGCCCACTGGGAGGTGGTGGAGCGTATCCTGTTCATCTACGCCAAGCTCAACCCTGGCATCGCTTACGTGCAGGGCATGAATGAGGTCGTGGGGCCCCTCTATTATACCTTCGCCACCGACCCCAACAGCGAGTGGAAGGGTAAAAGGGCTCTTGGCTGCCCACATCCCTCACGTGGCTCCCTAGAAAAATGGACCAAGGAAAGCCAGGATAATGGGCCTTATCAGGCTATGCAACTCACTTCCCTTCTCTGGGCCTCCATCTCCCCTCCACCGGATGTGAGGAGTTGACCTGGATGGTCTCTTGAGATCCTTTGCAGCTCAGGCTTTCTAGAATGTTGGAAGCTTACTGATCTCAGTATTTATAGCTGAAATTCTGGTAGAGGAGATGAGATGTACATATAGGAAGCTGAATGATTGACAAGGAATTAAATAATGATTGGAAAGATGTCATCAGAAGAGCATGTGATAGTTGCTAAGCGAAAGTACAGTCTTGTCAGAAGACCTGAGAAGACATGATGTCCTTAGTGTAGGGGTGGAACATGGTGAAGGAGAGAGGAGGGCCTGAGCCTAATCAGAGGGGTGGGTGGCCTAGAGAGGCTCAGTGGTAAAGAGGGAAGCTGTCACGTACACAAGAGCTGGGGTGGGACTCGGGCGCGCATCAGTTCCCTTGCAACTGCCTTCCCCCTGCCCCTGTCGCCCAGAGCACGCCGAGGCAGACACCTTTTTCTGCTTCACCAACCTCATGGCTGAGATCCGGGACAACTTCATCAAGAGCCTGGATGACTCACAATGTGGTATCACTTACAAGATGGAAAAGGTGTACTCCACCTTGAAGGACAAGGACATGGAACTCTACCTGAAACTGGTGAGGAGCACCAGGACCCCTGGGCCAAGGCAGACAGACAGGAAGGGGCACAGGCAGGGGGCCTCTGGAGCACCCCAGGCCCAGGGCAATGTCTGGCATGAGGCTGGGGATGGAAAGTGGCCGCTCCCGCTGGGGAGTGCTGGCCTGAGCTCTGTGGTACGGCTGGGAGACTGAGGCAGCCGTTGACGTGGGAGCTTAGCAGGCTGGGCGTGAAGAGGAAGTTGGTAGGGTGCCTGTCGTGTGCCAGGCACGGAGCAGGGCATTGACCATATGCTGAATGACTTGAGCCTGGTAGTAGTCCTCTTGAGAAAAAAGTACGAACGTCATTTTTAAAAAATGAAAAATAATCTAAAAAGTTATTGGAGTGGCATTTCCTGTTTATTTCAGAAAACAGTTTTGTGAAGAGAAACTATAACAAAAATCGTTTGAACAAAAAAATACATATAAACAGGTCTTTTTAAACAGATACAGAATTATGCTTTGCTGTTTTGTCAGTTTTTCAGTTAACGTTCACTGGGGCTGACCAGAGGGCTCATCTCTCTGGGGAATGACGGCCCTGTAAGGCTGTGGTGTGGAGGAAATAAATGATCTATTTCACATGCTAAGCACAAGGCCAGGCTTATTAGTAAGTGCCCGATAATGCGTCTGTCTGCCCCTAAGTCCAAGGTTATAATCCGTACCCTATTTTAAAAGAATTAGAGCCATCGTTTGTAAATCTAGAGAGCTTACATAAAAGCTTGGATTTCTGGCTTCTCTTGCAAAATTGGAAGAGCTGGCGGCGCTGGCTGGCGGCTGCCCCCCAGCCGGCCCCAGTGCTATCGCCCACTCAGCGTGCCCGGCTGGTGTGATGGGCCGCGTGGCCCTGCGTGGCAACCGAGCACCCCACCCCACACCTCTGTCTCCCCAGCAAGAGCAGAACATCAAGCCCCAGTTCTTCGCCTTCCGCTGGCTGACGCTGCTGCTGTCCCAGGAGTTCTTGCTGCCCGACGTCATCCGTATCTGGGATTCCCTCTTCGCCGATGACAACCGTTTCGACTTCCTCCTCCTGGTCTGCTGCGCCATGCTCATGTGAGTGTGACGGCCAGCAGAGGGGTGGGTGGGGGCTGCCCTCATGAGGAGTGAGCCACTGCAGGTGGGGAGGAGGGAGCGGGAAGGGGCCCGCTGGGCCTGCAATCTGCGGCCCAGGGTTCCAGCACCTTTGCTGCTTGTTTTCCTCAGACTGATCCGGGAGCAGTTGCTGGAAGGGGACTTTACCATAAACATGCGGCTCCTGCAGGTAATGGGGTTTGGAGCGGCGAGCTCCGTCTTTAGCCATGAGGCACATACTTACCAAGCAGCCACCCACGCCAGCTGCTGTGACAGGCTGGGGTTAGGAACCCTGAGACATAAGCGTGCAGACGCCTGAGGCGGATCTGGTTTGGATCTGGGTTTGAATCCCACTTCTGCCACTTGAGTGTGGTGTCGCCTTGAGTGAACGACTCGGTGTCTCTGGACCAGACGCTCTACAGGAGTTCATTGTAGCTGGGACATAGCGGCGCCTGGTCCATCGTAGCGCTTGGTGGTGCAAAGGCTCTGACTTCGGGGAGGATAGGGGGGCATAATGGTTGAGAAGTGGGAGCAAAAGCAGACAGCTCTGGGTCCACGTCTTTGTGCCACTGTGCTAATCACATGACCCAAGCCAAGTGACAACCTCTCTAGGCCTCGCTTTCTTCAGTGCCTGGCCTGGGGTTGGTTTTCAGCAATCGGATTGACCAGGTCTGTAAAAGAGGCCTAGTCACAGTCTCTTTCTCCTCAGACCGATGAGGTGACCCAGTGAACTAGTGCATGAGCAATGTCTGGCCCACTCTCAGGCTCGTTATGAATGGCACTTGGGTTTGAGGGCAGGAGAGAGATGTGGGGGAGGGTGGTCCGAGTCCTGAGGAAGGGGCTGTGATACTTTTTGGTGCTGGTTGGGTTGGGTCAGCTAGGGCTGCAGTGGTTTGGGCAGAATGGGGTATCTGGTAGCCTGTGGTCCCTGTTCCTGAGGCCCAGGGCCCAGCATGGTGACAGGGCCCAGTGGGAAGGGCGTTGGTGTGGCAGAGGTGGTGAAGGGTGAGCTGACTTCAAAGGCATATTGTTGACTTTTCCCATATCTAGGATTACCCCATTACAGATGTCTGCCAGATCCTACAGAAAGCCAAGGAACTCCAAGACTCAAAGTAGCCTGCTGGCAAGAGGCCCAGTTTGGGAGAGAAGACACGACCCCTGTGCCCTGGCTTCTGGGACACACAGGAGCCTCTGGGATCCCAGCCAGCCCGAGGGGAAGCTGCAGGACCGGCCCACTCCAGGCTGCCTCATCTGGCTCCATCACCCTAGGCCGCTCCCGCTGGGGGCACACTGTGCCATGCTCCTTTCTAACCACCCAGCCCTGGCTCCCTTCCTGCTCTTCGACCCGGAGGCCTTTTGCCCAGGCTGCCCAGCAAGGCTGGAGCTCATGAGGTAGCTTCTTGGGGCTGGGGCACACTGGGGGCACTGGGGGCCGGCAGGGGTCCTTCCCTGCCTCTGCTGCTCCCTTCCCCCTCTCCTGCTTGGGTCTTCTGGGCTCTGGTTGCAGGAGGTACTTGGCAAATGAGCCAGTACCACTTCTTCTGGGGCTTGGTGCTTAGGCTTCTCTAAGGTGGGGAAGGTGACACTGTGAAGGAGCTAAGAAGCTGCCAGGCCCAGGTCACACCCTCTGTCCCTCTCCCACTGAGTGAGTTTCCGTCTGTAGTCACGGGTGGGTGTGTCTGTGTGTCCTCATCCGCCAGGTATCTGCTGCTCCTGCGTGGGTGTTGGGCAGTGTGTGTGTGAGGGGGTGGGCTGTCTGTGCTCCTTCGAGGTCTTTCTTCTCTGTCCCCGTACCCTCATAGAGTGTGTGTGACTGTCTCGCTCTGTCTGCCCCTCTCTCCATTTCCCTCTGCCCTTTTCTCTTGGGGTGCCTTATCCCCAGCCTCTTCCCCTTCCTGCTCCCCTCCACTGCATGAACCCCAGAGACAGAATGAGGAGTCTGGCGAAGTCCCTGGGGGTCAACTTTGGCCTGTTCCCATCCCCAGCCCTAGGTCCCTGGGTCCCGCAGACTGGGAGGGAGGCTGTAGTGCCTCACCAGAGGGCCCTGAATCTGCTCCCGACAGAAATCTTGGGAACCAAAAGCTGCTGAGAAATGGTGGCCCACAAGGCTTTGGGCCCCTTACCCTCCTTTCTGCCCAGGGTTGGAAGAAGGAGACGAGGGAGAGCTGAGTCTTCCAGAGATTCCCCCTAAAGGCCCTTGTTTCCCGAAGGAAAAGGACATGAAAGTGGTACTGTGCCAGGGGTTGGGATCCAAGTGCTTCAGAAGAGTAGTCCTTCCCATGGCTTCCAGGTTCTGGCCCAGGGCGGTGAGTCCCATATAGGGCAGGTGGGGCCAACGGGAGCCTCCCTGGGCCAGGGGTAGCTGAGCTTAACAGCCTGGATCCTTTCGGTGCAAGGAAAAGTATGTCTCCCCCAAGCAGGGTGAAGGAGCTCCTGGCCCTTCCCTGGTCACCTGCTTGAGCTCTTCCCAGGATTTGGGGCAGGGGCACTCTGGGCGGAAGCAGCTGGCTTCTCTTGCCACTGGGCTGTGCAAGGAGTGGGCTTATTTTGACCAAGCCCCCCCTCCTCTTGTGAGGAGGCAGGTGGTTTGGGTCTGGAAGGCTGGGCAGTGTAGCAGGGGGTCCTCAGCCTCTCCTCGGACTGGCCAGCGGTGGCCCTCTTGTCCCCACCGCCTCCCCGAGTCAGGCATCCAGGACTTTGGGCCAGGAAGAGCTGTCCGCCAGTGGCTCCTATCCCAGGCTGTACCTTGGATGCTGCTGGGATGTTATGCACATGCCTTTTTGCCTCCTCGTTTCCCAACACACAGTATTTGGGAGATTTTTTACTATTTATTTAGACCCCTGGTTATTTATTGCAGACTGGCTAATGCTTGACTTGGAGGTGAAGGGTGGGGCCAGGAGGGTAAAAAGCAGTTGGAGATAGTCTTCCTGACTTTGCAGGGTCAGAGTCCGCATCCTCTCCCCCTGCCTCTGGGACCTTCCTGATTTTCCAGCAGTTCCTGGCTGGGAGGGCTGTGAGCTCCGTACTGGAATTGAGGGTAAGGGATGGGGGAGGGCTGCTGTTGAGAGGGCTGGTATCGTCTCTGGACCACAAGACCCCAGCATGGCGCAGAGACACACTTCCCAACAGCCTGGCTCGGCCTCTTCCCAGAACTTGTCAGCTGGTGGTTCATTCCCAACGTTGACCCCTTCACAGCCTGAGGCTTGGGCCCCAGCCTGGGCCCCAGCAGACTCTGCCCAGGACACCTGATGCATTCCCTCTTGCCTGTCCCCCCTGCCTTCCCTCCTGGGGCCATACTACTTGAATCGCTGCGTCTGATTCGCCTCAGTGGTAGGCTTAGGTCCAGTGCTCTCTCCTTGACTTTGGGACGAGGGTCAAGAGCACAGGGACCGTGTGCAGATTAGGCTGCACTCCCCAATGGGATACTGCCTGGGGAAAGGGCAGGCCCTTGGTGATTCCCGCTTCCCAGACTCTCCAGAGAGGTGCCCTGAGAGCCAGAGTGCCTGAGGCTTCCCCATTGGGAAGCTGCCCCCAGGACTTTGGACACTTAGAGATTGGGCTATATGAGCTCAGCAGGTCTCACTCTGGGGTCAGAATGTGAGTCTGCTTTTGTTCTTTTCATCAGTTTTATTCCTTGAATCAATGCTGTTGATAAGTTGTCTTTAATAAATCATGTGTTCTTTGCAATGGGCATTGGTGCTGTGATGGGCTGAAAACTTTTGAGACCTCAGAGAAGGAAAAGCCTGAGCAGGGGTGGAGTCAGGAGACTCAGAGTGGGCAAAGAAAAAGGCTGGGAAATTCTTGTTGGAGGAGTCTATTCAAGTCTTCTCATTCAACCACAGCGATTTGCAGCTGGAGGCCAAGGGCCAGTGGGCTAGGGAAGGAGGTACTATGCCACTTGATTACACAGCAAGTTATTTTTGAGATTGACAAAACTTCAAATAAAATCCGTACTACCCACAGTCTAGAGAAAATCACTGAGAATATGTTAAGTCTTTGCTACATCGTTGTCATTTTCTTGATACACTTTTGTGTACTGTCTCCCCCCTCAGGTTAGGTGGTAAGCAAGTTGCTGTATGATGTTAAAAATATATTTACGGGCTATATAGTATTCTCATATGCTAAAAATGTCTGAATCCAGCCCCTATCTTGGAATAGTTTGCTTATTTCAGCCTCTGTTATAAGTAATACCATGGGGAAGCTTTCGTGTTTAAAATCCTTGCATTCCTGGTTCATTTCCCCAGCTCAGTCCTCTAAGTAGGTTGAAAGGTATGAACCTTTTTTTTTTAATTAAATGATTTTATTTATTTATTTGACAGAGAGAGACACAGCAAGAGAGGGAACACAAGCAGGGGGAGTGGGAGAGGGAGAAGCAGGCTTCCCGCGGAGCAGGGAGCCCGATGCGGGGCTCAATCCCAGGACCCTGGGATCACGACCTGAGCCGAAGGCAGACGCTTAACGACTGAGCCACCCAGGCGTCCCATGAACCTTTTTTTTTTTTTTTAAAGTTTATTTATTTATTTGAGAGATAGAGAGAGAGCATGAGAGGAGTGAGGGTCAGAGGGAGAAGCAGACTCCCTGCTGAGCAGGGAGCCCGATGCGGGACTCGATCCCGGGACTCCAGGACCATGGCCTGAGCCGAAGGCAGTCGCTTAACCAACTGAGCCACCCAGGCGCCCCCCATGAACCTTTTATACATACTGCCAAACTGCCTTCTAGAATCGTGCCAGTTTCTGTCCCAACGAGCCGTTAGCATCAGCCGCCTGCATCCCTGTGCTCTTGCCCGGTGTTAAAATATTTACCAACGTCCTACAACTTTCGACTTAGGTGTAATGGTTAGAAGGGTAGATTTTTGGTGTCAGGCAGACCTGGGGTCTTGTCCTTCTTTGTCCAGCCAACTAGGAACTTCCTCTCGGGGCTCTTTTGAAGATTAAGTCAGGTAGTGGAAGCGCTTTAGATCAGTGCCTGACACTTCTCGGCGCTCGTAAGTCCTAAGTAGGAGCTCCTACCCGCGGCGCGGAGGGTCCCTGTGCAGCCCAATGAGGGCGCGGGGCGGAGCCGGGCGGCGGCATCCAGTTACGAACCAGGGACGGCACGTCCCGCCCCCTTCCGGGTGCGCGTCTTAAAAGGGCAAAGAAAGGGCGCCGGGACGTCCCCTCGGCGCGAGTCCTGACCCCTTCTGTTGGGGTTCCCCAGTTCTTCGAAGCGTCCTTGAGTGGAAGCGACGGCCATCCCACCGTCTCGCACCCCTACCTGGCCTCCTCCCCCGCGGTGGGCCCCCTCAGACCGGCGCGGCCCCTTTAAGAGCGTCGCGGGTCGGCAGCCGGAGGTCGCGGTGTGCCGCGGGCCGCCCTCCACCTGCTCTCGGGCCGCTCTCCCCGCCATGCAGGCGCTGCGGGTTAGCCTGACCCTGGCGCTGGGCGCGGGGCTGGGCGCGGCGGCCGAAAGCTGGTGGCGGCGGCGGGAGGACGCGCGGGTGGCGCCGGGGCTGCTGGGCCGGCTGCCCGTGTTGCCCGTGGCCGCGGCGGCCGAACTGCCCGCCGTGCCCGCGAAGCCCGGGACCCCGGCGGGCGCTGGCGAGCTGGCCAAGTACGGGCTGCCGGGGCTGGCGCAGCTCAAGAGCCGCGAGTCGTACGTGCTGTGCTACGACCCGCGCACCCGCGGCGCGCTCTGGGTGGTCGAGCAGCTGCGGCCCGAGCGGCTCCGCGGCGACGGCGACCGCCGCTCTTGCGACTTCCGCGAGGACGACTCCGTGCACGCGTACCACCGCGCCACCAACGCCGACTACCGCGGCAGCGGCTTCGACCGCGGCCACCTCGCCGCCGCCGCCAACCACCGCTGGAGCCAGAAGGCCATGGAGGACACCTTCTACCTGAGTAACGTCGCGCCCCAGGTAGCGCCCGCGCTCGGGGTCAGGCGCCTGGCTGCTCACCCCGCGCGCCCCTGGCGGGAGGCACCGAGCACGGAGCCACCCAGCACCCGCTCTGCAGTCCGACCTTGACTGTGGGCCTCTGGGCACCTCCCTGAGCTTCAGTTTCCTCGCAGCGAAGACAGTGCACACGAGAGTACTGAGCACTCTTCCTGGCCCATGGCATGCATTCAGCGCATATTAGCTGTCATGAGGGAACTGAGGCACAGAGAGGCAAAGTGGCCAATTGTCACACAGCAGGTGACCCAGGCAGTCTGTCTAGAGGAGCCTGAGCTTTCAGCCATTGTCCCTACCCTGCCTGCCTCCCAGGAGTCAGAGGAAAGTAACTCTGTGTGCTCTATTTCAAGCCTTCTTCAAGCAGGGCCTGGAGACTTGACCTGGGGCTCTGGGTGAAGCCCAGGGGGTCTGAACCTCCCATCTGATTTTGCTCTTCCAGCGTCTCAGTTCCCTGCCTATTTGACTAGACACTGGAGAGCTCAAGAGCCGGGAGTCAAGAGCAGATCCATGACTTCCAGCTGGGCTCTGCATGCGGTTCAGGAAGGAGAGGGTAGGGCTGGAGAGTTGGCCTTCCCATGAGGCCCCGGGGATGGGGGTGGGGGGGGCTTGTTTCTCTCTCTGAAGAGGGAGAAGTGCCCCTTTCCTTAGTGTGTCTCTTTGGAGCTGAGAAGCGGTTTTGAGACCTGGGATGTCAGTCCTCCCATTCTAGATGGGGGCAGGCTAGCAGCCCCCTGAGCTCTGTCTGGCTCCACCCTCACGGCCAGGTGGCCTAAAGGCGGCTCTCCTTCCTTGAACCCGTTACCTCAGCATGCTTGCCCAGCCTACTCCCCATCGGACTATCCTGGCTTGGTGCCAGTTCCTGCCCATCTGACCGTCTGTCTGAGCCCCACCTCTCCAACCAGGTGCCCCATCTCAACCAGAATGCCTGGAACAACCTGGAGAAGTACAGCCGCAGCTTGGCTCGCACCTACCAAAATGTGTATGTATGCACAGGGCCGCTCTTCCTGCCCAGGTAAGGCTAGAACTGGGGTGGGGGGGGCGGGGTGGGGAAACAGCTGGGGATGCCAGGGCCTCCCATTCACTAGAGGCCCCCTCCTGCCACTCACCATCCAGGCCCGCCTCAGCCTCTGGGTGTGCACGCAGTGCCAGGTCACATCGTCTAGTTTCTCGACAAGATTGTCCGTTCTCTGCTTCAGACCCCCTAACTGCATTTCTATAGCTAGAGGCCTGTGGGGGTACCCACAAGACTGTCTCTTCTGCCCCGGCATCAGGCCCCAAACCTGCCTCTGTTCCTCTCTCCCCTCACCTCTTGCCATGTGCCCGACTCCCTTTCTGTCCAGATAGAAAGCCTTGCACCAGGCTCTTGCTTTCGGTTTCCTCTGCATGGAGCAACCCTCCTCACCCTTCTGGAGCCAGGGTTTGACCTCCATCTCCCCGATCCTGAGCCTTCACTCTTGTCCCTCTGCAGCCCTGCCTCCCAGGTAGAAGGGACTGAGCTCCCCTGGGCATGCTCAGTAAATTTTCCAGCCCAGTGAAGACAGATCGGGGAAGCAAAGGGTTGTGGGGAAGCCACTGGCTCTGGAGTCCACGGGCCTCAGATGGAACCCAGGCCCTATCACCTGGTCTCTGGGTGTCAATGGGCAAATGACCTCAATATCCTCTCCTGTAAAGTGGGGATAATAGCCATTCCCTACCTCGCAGTTGCTTCGGGGTGAAACGCGAGTGGTGGAGGTCGCTATGGTAAGCACTCAGCATGGGCTGGCCGAGGAGGCACGGATGATTAGCAGGTGCCTCCTGTGGCCTGCTGGAATGGAGTAGGCCCCGCCGAGGAAGACCGAAGTCCTCCATCCCGTGTTCTGGGCCCCAGGCCCTCGCCCACTTGGTGCTCACCCGCCACGGGGGAGGTAGGCAGTAGTCTCGGGTCTGCACTAATGAAGGTGAATGCCCACAAGGCCGGATTTTCTCAGCTGCATTTATTGCCACCACCCACCCTGCCTGACCCAGTGCTGGGCCTGAGGGAAACAGGGAAAGGGAGTGTCTACCCTGCAGGGAGCCCCCAGCCTCCTGGGGGAGCTGAGAAGGGCACAGAAGCCTCCTGCTAAGGCAGTTCTACAGGCTGACACAAGGTGGAAGTCAGGCCGGGGAAGGCTTCTCGGAGGTGCAGCCTCGGGTCCGAGCAGACCCCTCGGGAGCTCTGAAAGGCCTCATGTGCCCGGGTCTGCCCACAGGACGGAGGCTGACGGCAAGTCCTATGTGAAGTACCAGGTCATCGGCAAGAACCACGTGGCGGTGCCCACCCACTTCTTCAAGGTGCTAATCCTGGAGGCAGCAGGCGGGCAAATCGAACTCCGCTCCTATGTGATGCCCAACGCTCCTGTGGACGAGGCAGTCCCGCTGGAGCGCTTCCTGGTGCCCATCGAGAGCATCGAGCGGGCCTCGGGGCTGCTCTTTGTGCCAAATATTCTGGCGCGGGCAGGCAGCCTCAAGGCCATCACTGCAGGCTGCAAGTGAAGGCCGTACCCTGCCGGACTGTGGGGGCTGGGTCGCATTAAAGGTGGTGATCTTTGGAGACAAAAGTCCTGGCTGTGTCTGTCCCGGGGCCCCTCAGGAGCCTCTGGCTTCCCTGCTGCTGCTTCGTGGTCTTCGGCCTGCCGGAACCTTCAGCTGGGCCGGGCACCCGCCTGGGTGAGGCCAGGCTGCAGGGCGGCCAGGGAGATGAGGATGGCCTCCTGGAGTGGAAGTGCGGCTGTGGGCTGGGGCCTGGAAGGCTGGTGGGCGCCTGGCTCCCAGCCTCGCAGGGCTCGACCGCCCGGGACCACCCCCCCCCCAGGGGCTTGCTGCCCTCCGCAGGGCCCCAAGGACGTTAAGAACAGGCTCAGCCCCATCCTGCAGATCTGCCACGGGCTGCCTGCATGCCCTGCCGGGGAAGGGCCTTGCCTCTCTGCTCCTTGAGGGGTGTTCTCAGCTCCCAGGACAGGGTGGGTGCAGGGCTTCCTGCTGGGAGGGTGTGGCCCCTGGAGGGCCCTCAGGGACAGACTGGAGCTGCTCCCCCTGTGTAGTCACCACCCTTTGAGACTACTGGACGCCAAGTGCCTCGTGTGTGGACCTCAGAAGCGGGTCCACCGGTTCCATCGGGGCACAGGACTGAGGCTCCCAGAGCTGGCTGCATACTGCCCCCCACAGGACTGAGGTGCCACTGAAGCCCAGTGGGGAGGGCTGCCCTGCCCACCACGGTCACGTGTGAGGAAGTGGAACACTGAGCGTACGGCTGGGGAAACTGAGGCCCGGAGCTGGGATGGCCAGGGTCTCCTGAGTTCCCCACCCTGGGAGCAGCTGGATGGGCACCAGCACCCAGATTCTTGACTCCCAGCTCACTCCTACTCTGTCCCTGCTGGAATTCGCAGTGGTAAGAGGCCGAGGCCGTCAGGAAACCATCTCCAGAGAAGGCTGGCTCGAGACAGCCTTGGGCAGAGCTGCACCCCCGCTCGGACAGACCCCTGGCTGGCGGTAGAACCTTGAGAACAGCCTGGGGGCTGGAGGCGGGAGGAAGGCAGGCTCACCTCGGTGCGGATGGTGCGGCTGCCCTGGCTAGGGCAGGTGTTGACGTACAGATCGAACAGGACACTGGGTTCAGCCACCTCTAGGTTGGGGTCAGCATCCACCCCAGCTTCCAGCCCCTGGAGGCCCCCGAACACCACGAGAGCATGCCTGGCACCCACAGGAGAGGATCAGTCCCTGCTCACTAAGGCCACACTGAACGCAGCTTCCCAGAGCTCTCAGCCCCCCCACTCCCGGGATGCAGTTAGGGGCCCAGTCTGTAGAGCTCCGCCCCCACCAAACAGGTTTCCGGCTCCATCTCCCCTTCCCCGGCCCCTGCCCCAGGCTGTACCCACCTGAAGCTGGGCAGCTGGGCGGAGGTCACATTGGAGCCTCTCTCTGATGTCCCAATGGTCAGGTCATACCCGTCCTGGAAGGGGGCCTCAGCAAACACAGCACCTGGGGGAGAGACCAGTTCCCTGGGGGTCCTGTTCCAATGCCAGAGCCACTCGGCTATGTGTCTGCATATGGGGGTGGGGCGGGGAGAAGGGCTGGAAAAGGGGCCTCAGGTAAGGGAGTCACACCCAGCCACACACATCAGCCGTTCTGGGAAGTCCGGGACTCAGCAGGGAGAAACCACACCTGTGCTAGACTGGGGACGTAAAGCTGAAGGCGGGTAGGAAGGAGCTCTGAGAATTCACCGTGCACCCTAGACCCATCTGGTCCTTTTCTTCTATTCCCAACCCCACGGCAGACGTTACTAATGAAGCACGATCCTTTTCCTCAGAAGTCCTTTCCAGGATTCCAAGCAGCGCACCCAGGGAGACCACGTCCCAGAGAAGGAAAGGCATTTGCTTACGGACACACAGTAAGGTGGCAAGACAAGGACCCTGGTCTGCCTTTTGGGTCAAGCAAGGCTCTCTGTGGCCTCCCAGAGAGGGGTCAGCTCTTCAGAGGAGGAAGCTCTGTCCTTACTGAGGCAGGAGGCCAGCCGGACTGTGTAGCCCCAGTAGAGACCGGCTTTGGTGCGAGGGTCCTGCGATGACACGACTTTTCCGCGGTAGGTCTTGCTTTCTGCAGAGGAAGCAGGGAGGCTGTGAAGATGAGGCGAGGGACAGGAGGTGGCAGGAGGTGGTTCCAAGCCCTCTGGCTGGGCCAGGCTGGGAAGTTTCCAGATACCTGGGAGCTGCTTCTGGTTCAGCTGTACTGTCACACGAAGTCCAGGCTCCAAGTTCTTGTCAATCTTCACCTCCTGGGGAGAAGCCAGGAGAAATGGGTGCTGTTCCCCAGAGGGCCAGCAGGTGTCACTGTTCTCCCAGATGCTGGGGGAGGTGAGCTCTGAGCAGCTCACAAGGTACCTGAGGGGTCCAGCTCAACCTCTGCCCCCTTTCTCTGGCACCCGGGCCAGACCTGCTCTCAAGAAACCATTTGTCCGGGGCGCCTGGGTGGCTCAGTTGGTTAAGCAACTGCCTTCGGCTCAGGTCATGATCCTGGAGTCCCGGGATCGAGTCCCGCATCGGGCTCCCTGCTCGGCGAGGAGCCTGCTTCTCCCTCTCACCCTCTCCCCCCCTCTCATGTACTCTCTCTCTCTCTCTCTTTCATTCTCACTCTCTCAAAATAAATAAATAAATAAATCTTAAAAAAAAAAAAAAGAAAGAAAAAGAAACCATTTGTCGGGTGACTGGGTGGTTCAGTCGGTTAAGCAGCCGACTCTGGATTTCGGCTCAGGGCAAGATCCCGGGGTCCTGGGATCAAGCGCCACATTGGGCTCCACACCCAGCAGGGAGTCCGCCTGAGGACTCTCTCCTTCTCCCTCTGCCCCTCCCTGCTCCCCATGCAAGCATGTGCAGGCTCTCTCTCTCTCTCTCAAATAAATCTTAAAAAAAAAAGAGACCATTCTTGCAAAACAACTACAAGACACTGGGCAAAGACGAACCCTCTGGGCCTGGCACAGGGCAGGAATAAGTATTTCGCAAGATGAAATCCCAGTCGTCTACGTTTTGAACAGATGTGGCTATGCCACTTCCTAGCTACAGCGGTTTGAGCAGGCTACTTAACCTCTGCAAGCCTCGGTTCCCTCCACTGTCAAACGGCAAACCCTCCATAAACAACAGCCCAGGGCCGGGCGTGAGGTCAACGGGAGCTGCGACGAGTGACAACCGATGTCTGTGTTTTGTGCCAACTCTGAATTCAGGATAGGGCACTTTCTTTCCCTTCTGAGGTCTCTCCTGTCTTCTCCTTTGGTCTGGGTCTGGGTCATCCTGGTCTGCAGTTAGCCCGTCATTTCTGGTCTGCTCTTTTTGAGGGGAGGGGACCCTCCACCTTGAAATGTTTCTGTCTCTGAATCCAGAAGCCCTCAGAGTAAGCAGGTAGCAGATGAACGTGCCAATCCCAGCGTGGCTCTGCGTCCTGCCGGAGCTGCCCCAGAGGGATTCTGAACTTCTTTTTGTAGGGTGTTGGCTGGGGTGGATTGGGTCTGAGTGTGAGGACTACCTCTGCCTCTGTTCATTTACTTTTTAAGAAACAGTGTATTTGCGGGTGCCTGGGTGGCTCAGTTGGTTAAGCGACTGCCTTCGGCTCAGGTCATGATCCTGGAGTCCCGGGATCGAGTCCCACATCGGGCTCCCTGCTCGGCGGGGAGTCTGCTTCTCCCTCTGACCCTCTTCCCTCTCGTGCTCTCTATCTCATTCTCTCTCTCTCAGATAAATAAAAAAAAAAAAATCTTAAAAAAAAAAAAAAAGAAACAGTGTATTTGCTCCTGGCTTTATCTCCTGAGCCCTGTTTGGGGACACTTCTCTGGCCCAAATATCCATCAGTAGGGGAACTGCAGGCACAGATGCCCGGGTCCAGGGCTCCCTGCTCACAGGACCCCGCCTGCCCTCCATGGCCGGGATGTGTCCGGAATGTCTGTCCCAACCCGCTCTCCCGGTCCCTACCTTCTTCATGCCACAGTTGACAAAGGACCCGTGGCCTGGCCGGGTGGGCCGGTCCACCACGATGCCTTCTCTGAACTCGGACTCCTCATCCTGACGCATGTGGTGAGGGCTGTCCAAGGGGTTCAGAAGCCCTGTGGGTTGGGAGATGCCAAGGCACACGGTGGTATGGCTGGAACCTTGGAGGCCTGGTCCGCGCATTCCAGGCCTGCCCCAGACCTGCTGTTTGCCACCAGGCAGAGGCCTTGCCCTGCCTGGGCCTGTTTTCTCAACTGCGCAGCAATTTCTCAGGGTCTGGGGGATGATCCATGAGAAATGGGGTCAGCACCCCCTGCAGCCTTACCTGCAAACTGGAGATCCTGATGCTTGGGGAAGAACGCCTTTCTTAGGTACCTAGTGAAGACCGTGGATCTCAGGAAGTTCCCAGGGGAGGCTGCCCCCTGCCTGACCTGCACCTCAACCACCCTCCTCCTCCCCATCACGTTCAGGGAAGTCTGCCCTTCACCCCCTTACTGTGGACACTCCAGGTACTGCAGGATCCGGGCCAGCTGCACGCATGCCTGCCCCTTCTTGCCGACTCCCCTGAATTCTCCCTCCACGGTCCTGGAGAGAGAAAGATAGGGCTTCCAGAGCCTACTGTGCTCCCTTCGAGAGCTTCTCCACCCAAACTGACCCCTGCAGTGCCCCTGCTTTGCAACTCTTCCCACCAGATTCACTGGGGGAAATTGCAGGCAGCATTCTCAGCCCAGGCAAGTAGGCAGCGACAAGGATGAAACAAAGTCAATCCTAGCGGTCCCTCCCTCCTCACTCAGCCCCGGTGCCCTACTGGATGGCCCCTCACTTGGCATCTTGGCCTTCTTCGTCGAACACCACAATCTCATCCACACAGAAGATGGTGCAGGCTCTGGCAATCTGGCCGGCCAGGTAGGTGCGGAGCTCCGGTGACTGGGCATTGTCCAGGATGGAGCCTGGCAGGGCCACACTCAGGGTGTAGGGCCGACCTGGGCAGGGGAGGGGCGTTCATGGGCAGTCTAAGAGGCTAGGGTCGAGCTTTCCCCTCACTCCATCTAATCCCAGGGCCCAGAGTTAGAAAACTTTTCCTCTGGGAGGAATTTTGAGGCCAGCAAAATAGATCCAGCTCCCCTTTCCAGGCCTCAAGCTACCCAGGAGGTAGATGGACCTACTGGTCCCCAAGGCGCCCATGAACAGGGCACACAACTGGGCAAGCCTGGAGAGTGGTTAGAGGCACTGGCCCATGTTCATGTGCTGGCTCCACCCCCTACAGCCTCAGTTCTCCAGCTGTCAAATGGGGATAATAAAGAGCTAATATTATTACGGCCTTTTCTGTGTGCATTTACCCCATAACCCTAAGAAGTATTACTATAGGATCCCCATTGAGAGGTGGGGACCCTGTGACCCAGAGAGATCAAACATGTGGCACAAGGTCACACAAAAGGCAAGACAGCTGACATATGGGTTCAGGCTGTCTGGTTCCGGAGGGACCACCGTATTTTCCCTCCCAGAGCCACCCAAAGGGAGCCACATGAGGGACCACCCAGGAAGGACTTCCCTGGTGTCTGAAACAGCTGACATGCTCAGTCTCTATCCCCACTGTCAACATCATCACTGGTAACCAACGGGCTTAGAGGGCATGTTATGACACCCTAACCCTCCTGACATTTGGGTCTAGACAAGGAGAAAAGATACAATCTGTTAGGGTAGCTCCAGATGTACTAATGTGGAAGGACACACAGGGCACAATGTGCAATGAGAAAAACCAGGTCCAGAAGCTAATGGATAACATGACTTCACTTTTGTAAAACTGTATCTATATACTCTACGTATGTATACGTGGATGTATATACTCTACATATGTATATGTGGATATATATACTCTACATATGTATACGTGGATGTATATACTCTACATATGTATATGTGGATATATATACATATGTATACGTGGATGTAACATAACATCTGGAGAAACTTTCACTGCAATGTTTGCTGGGATTTTTCTTCTTTACAGTTTTCTGTATTTTAGGGAGGGGGATTGTTTTGAACAGGTATTATTTAATAAGAAAAAAAAAGACAAATTCTTATTATAATCAAAATAAGGGGCACCTTATTTTGGGTGTAAGCCCCACGTTGGGTGTAGAGCTTCCTTAAAAAAATAAAATAAATAAATAAATAAATAAAATAAAATAAAAAAATAAATTAAAAAATAAAATAAAATAAAAATAAGCCCCACGTTGGGTGTAGGGCTTCCTTAAAAAAATAAAATAAATAAATAAAATTAAATTAAATAAAATTAAAATAAAATAAAAAAACAAATTAAAAAAATAAAATAAAATAAAAATAAATAAGGGGCACCTGGGTGGCTCAGTTGGTTGGGCGACTGCCTTCAGCTCAGGTCATGATCCTGGAGTCCCAGGATCGAGTCCCGCATCGGGCTCCCTGCTCGGCAGGGAGTCTGCTTCTCCCTCTGACCCTCCCCCCTCTCATATGCTCTCTCTCTCTCAAATAAATAAATAAAATCTATAAAAGAAAAAGGGAAAAGAAATCAAAATTAAAAAAATATATATAAATATAAAAAAATAAATAAATAAAATCAAAATAAGTAAATGAACAACTAGATTAAAGCACACAGAAAGTGCTCAATAAAAAAGTAAAAAAAAAAAAACCCAAAACTGTCATTATGATGATGAGTTCTGGAGGTATAAAGTTATGATATGTGATGCTTAGGCTCCAAAGGATTGAAATCTACCTAAGTGGGAGGTTAGGACTCAGGTTTTCCCATTCTCTGGACCTCAGTTTCTCCCTCAGGACAAGATGTCTGGACCCACTGGTCTCTAAGGTCCCTTCCAGATATGACATTCTCCTCCCCGCCCAGGACCCAGTCTGCCCACCCTGGTCCTCCCTCTGTGCAGTTGCCTCTTCCTGTTGGAGCTTTGCCTGTTCTTCCTGTGCCCGCTGCCGCTCCAGTTTTTTCATCAGCTTGAGATCCTTCCACTTCTTTTTCTCCTCTTTCTCTGGAGAAGAGGACATGTGGATTGGTGGAGGGGAGAGGGGCTTGGAGGGAGAGGGACATGGAGCAGTCCAGGAGATGGTGCCCTCCCAATACGGTCAGCCTGGCCTCTCCAGTGCTGCTTACTGAGCAGCCAGAGGAGCCTGTGGCCCCGTCTTTCCCATTCTGGGTGCTGGGGGACCCAGAGGGACAAACCTGGAGGCTCTCCCCGAGGTTCAGCAATGCACTGCTGGAGTGGCCTCGGGCAAGGCTGAACAGATCCCCTCCCCTTCAGCCTCTTACTTACTCTGCTGCTTCCATTTTCGCCACTCGACCCTTTGGCCATGTTCACCCTAGAGTAGGAATGGGAAGAGGTACAGGAGTGAGGCTGAATGATCACAACTGGGAGGGGGTCCCATTTCCTGCCTATAAATGGGGGTGGTGAGGAAACCACGGAATGCCCCCACCCCGCTGCCGCTGGGAGAGCGTCAGAGAGCAGAGACCTGCTACACTCTAGTGCCTGGGGCCGGGTCTGACACATAGCAAGCACTCAAAAAGTTGTCGAATCGAGTCTGACAGGACAGAAGAGGAAGCTGAAGCTCAGGGGGAGAGGATCTGCCTACTGTCGCCCGGGGAGTCAGAAGAGATACGCCACGAAAGAGCTTGAGAGGTCAGCCAGGGTCCCACCTCCTGAATCCACGCCCGGGTCAGAGCAGCCGCAAGGGGCTCCAGCAATGGGTTACCTGACGCTGTCCCGGCCCTGGCTAGGACCCCGGCACTCATCCCCGGTTCTCATGCGCAGGGGCGCACGCGGCCACGAGCATGCGGCACCTCGGGGCTTCCGGCCTCGGATCAGCGACAAGCAGGGAGCGGGAAGCGCGGCCCAGCTCCGCCACGGGCCCCCACGCGGCTCGTTCTCGCGCCCCCACCCCCTGTCCTGCCCCGGGGCTCCACCTCCCGCCACTTACCGGGCCGCAGGGCCGCTTCTTCACGCGCTCCGCCATGTTCGCCGCACACCGTCGGCCACACCCTGCCAATCAGACTCACCTCTTCCGGCCACACCTCCCCCGAGCCGTCCAATCGGAGAACCAAGGGCATGCGGGGGCGTGGCATACGCATCTAGAGGCTTTGCGAGCGCGTGGGTTGGGACGCGCTCGCTGGGTTGAGCCGAGTCCGCGCAGGGCGTGGGGGCCAGATCTTGTCGCCGGCCTCGGGGGTCCAAAGGGGCAGTTTGTGCAGTGCTGTGCTGGATCTTTGGACGACAGGAGAGCCGCCCTCTGTTTCCGCACGAGCGCGACACTTAAAACTCAGCTCGATTTTATTCTTCATGGGGACCTTGAGGCCCAGAGCTGGAGTGTGATTCAGAGCTGGAAATGATCTTAGAATTTAATTCAGTTCTTTTATGGATGCATTCATTTACTCTCTCTTTCAATTAACAGACTTTATTTTTTAGAGCAGATTTACCAAAAATTGAGCACATAGTACACAGTTCCCATATAACCCTTCTCCCCCACTCATTTTCCCCCACTCAACATCAACATATTGGTTGATGAACCAATATTAATACAGTATTATTAACTAAAGTCCATAGTTTACATTAGGGTTCACTCTGTGTTGTACATTCTACAGGTTTTGGCAAAGACATCATGTCATGTATCTACCATTACAGTATGGTACAAAATAAGTCCACTGCCCTAAAAACCCTGTGTTCCACCTACCCTCTTCCAAGCCCCTGGCAACCACTAATCTTTTTTACTATCTCTATAGTTTTCCAGAATGTCATATAGTCAGAATCAAAGTATGTAGCTTTTTAATTTATTTTTAATTACTTATTTTAAAGTAAGCTCTACACCCAAGGCGGGGCTGAACTCACAACCCTATTCCATTGCATGGATATGCCAGTTTGTTTATCCATTCACCTTTTGAAGGATATCTGATTGCTTCCAGTTATGAATAAAGCTGCAATAAACACTCATGTGCAGGTTTTTGTGTGGACAGGAATTTTCATCTCACTTGGGTAAATAGCTGGGAACCTGATTGCTGGATTGGGCAGTTAAGCCCATGATTAGCTTTGTAAAAAACTGCCAAGCTATCTTCCAAAGAGACTAGACCATTTGCACTCCTGCCAGCCATGAAAGAGCTAAGCATTCTTTTTTATGCTAATAAATTTGAGGGGTGCCTGGGTGGCTCAGTCGGTTAAGGGTCTTCCTTTGGCTCAGGTCATGATCTCAAGGTCTTGGGATCCCAGGTCCCCAGGTCAGACTCCCTGCTCGGCAGGGAGTCTGCTTCTCCCTCTGCCCCTCCCCCTGGCTTGTGCTCACACCTGCGCTCTCTCTTTCTCTCTCTCTCTCTCTCATACATAATACATAAATGAAATCTTTTAAAAAAATAAATAATAAGTAATAAAAATAATAAATAAATTTGAGTCAATATTTATTCAATCAAGAAATAGTTGTCGAGCAGGGTCTATTTTGAGGCAGGTACGCCTCGTTCCCGAGGCAGATACGCCTTGTTCCCCAGGCAGGAACAGGGACACAACAGTAAGCAAAAGCAGATGCTGATCTGGAGCTAACAACCAAACAGAGGAGAGACTGATTTTTTTTTTAACCCTTTAATTTAAAAAATTATTTTCATTTTTCTATTTTTTAAGTAAGCTCTAGGCCTAACATGGGGCTCGAACTGAACCCCAAGATCAAGAGCTACATGCTCTACCACCTAAGCCAGACAGGTGCCCTGAGGAGAGATTAATTTCTTTTTAAATTCTTTTTTTTTAATATTTTATTTATTTATTCATGAGAGACAGAGGGAGAGAGAGAGAGAAGCAGGCTCCCAAGGAGCAGGGAGCCCGATGCGGGACTCGATCCCGGGACTCCAGGATCATGACCTGAGCCGAAGGCAGACGCTTAACCATCTGAGCCACCCAGGTGCCCGAGATTAATTTTTAATTCGGGGGCGCCTGGGTGGCTCAGTTGGTTGGGCGACTGCCTTCGGCTCAGGTCATGATCCTGGAGTCCCGGGATCGAGTCCCGCATCGGGCTTCCTGCTCAGCGGGGAGTCTGCTTCTCCCTCTGACCCTCTTCCCTCTCGTGCTTTCTATCTCTCATTCTCTCTCTCTCTCAAATAAATAAATAAAATCTTTAAAAAAAATTTTTTTAATTCGGTATATTTGTTAACATTCCAGGGGTGTGTTTATTTCCCCAGCCTCTCCCTCCAGTATCTGAATGAGAAGGCAAATCATTTATGCATCTCAGGCAAATCTTCCTTCTTAGGCTGGCTGAGGTTACTCAGTCTAAAATCTGGAACTTCTGTCAAGTCACGAATTTGAGTTATGGGCAGATCTTAGATTGGTTCATGAGACATGGAACCTTTGGTTGGGGTGGTTCTATCCATGAAATCTATGGGTTTACCCCACCAGGGACTTTCTTGCCATCAGGCTATGTGTAGTATAGCGAAGGGGCTCCAAGCCTGAGCCTCTGAGCTGGTATTTTGTTTCACAGTCTTGACTTTGGAACTGTGGGAGTAAGTACCGAGTCCTGGTTTGGAAGGGGAGGGAGGGAGGTGTACTATGCCATAGCGCAAAATGCCTTCCAACAGCAAATCTCTGACACCAGGTGGGTGTCCTACACTTCAATTCGATTCTGACCATAAGTACTGAGAGTTGGTGCAGATCCTATAGGTTAAGGGCTCAGTCCCACCGGACCGCCCCCCCCCATTTCAAATGCCAGCAGCAAGTGGGGTCTCTAGGCTACCCACACTTGTGCCTGGGTGACTACAAATTGGGGCATTTCCAGCATTCCCGTGGAGTTCAATAATTCCATGAAATGATTCACAGCACTCAGGAAGGTGCTGTACTTACATTTTCGTTATGAAGGATACAACGCAGGAACAGCCAAATGGAAGAGGTTCACAGAATAAGGTTTTGGGGGAGGAAGGTGCAGAGCTTCCGTGCCCTCTCCTAATGCACCACCCTCCCAGCACATCGATGTGTTTGCCAACCCAGAATCTCCTTGAGCCTCATTGATTCAGGGTTTTTTTAGGTGGGGTTTTATTCCATATGTACGATTGCTTGAATCACTGGCCAAGGGAAGTGATTGAACTCAATGTTTGGTCCCTTTCCCCTCCATCAGGGCCTGGGGTTGGGACTGAAAGCTCCGAGCCTCTAATGACATAGTCAAAGGGGCTTATTATGAACACAAAGGACAGTCCTAGGGGCGCCTGGGTGGCTCAGTCGGTTAAGCGTCTGCCTTTGGCTCAGCTCATGATCCCAGGGTCCCGGGATCGAGCCCGGAATCTGGCTCCCTGCTCCACGGGGAGCCTGTCTCTCCCTCTCCCTACCCCCTGTTCATCTCTCACTCTCTCAAATAAATAAATAAAATCTTTAAAAAGGAAAAAAAAGGACAAAAACAGAAGACAGTCCTATCTCTCAGGGAATTCCAAGGGTTTTAGGAGCTCTGTGCTGGGAACCAGGGACATACACTAAATACATTTTAATATATCATATGTTCCCATCAGCTCCCCCAATTAAATGGATCAAATGAGCAAACACATGGGCCTGCAATGAAAGGCGACTTCAAGTCCCCAGCACCACCTTCCAAATGAATTCAGGAGTTACTGTTGCTTTCTATTGAGGGAACAAAGCTGCTTCTGCCTTTGCCAGCCAGATGGCCTTCGGCAAGTCACATCACATCCAAAGTGGCTTCCTCACTTGTACAATGCAGATAGTAACTCCCGTCTCAGAGGCTTGTTTAATGAGATGGTGGGCATCTAGGCCCCTGACACAGGGGGGTGCACAATTAAATGCGCTACTTCCTTCCCCTTCTGCCTAAACTCCCTGGCCCTCCTGGCCTGCACTCTGACCCCTGTGAGACAGGAGACTGTTCGTGTCTCCCTGTCAGACACTCAACGGAGGTCCCCACCTCCTAACACATGCACAACGTGCCACAGCCACACCTCTTCTGAGCCCCGGGTTCAGCACAAGTCCCCAGTCCCTGCCCTGGTCTGGGCCTCTGTTTTACTCCACAAAACACATTTGTACAAAGAGGGGCTGGGATCTAAGTTTCACTGAGGTGTCTTCTGTTTCGCCCCAGGCCCCATCAGCGATCAGCACCACCGTGTGAAGCAGAGAGAAGCAGCCAATAAGGGTCTAAGTAAGTTAAAGCTTTATTATGGGTGAAAAGTACTGGCTTGAGGACTCAAGCCTAAAGACCACTTCCTGAGGTTATCTAAGGAAAGAAAGGGTGGGATGCCAGAGCCTAGGCTGGGGCCAGTGCAGGGCTGGGGCCAGTGCAGGGCTGGGGCCAGAGCAGGGCTGGGACTCAAGGCCAGTACACTGCTGGACTCTGTCCCTTGAGTCCCAGACAAGTCTGGGGAGAATACGGAGGGGACCCAAGACTCTATGACCAATCTAGGGAGGAGCAGGAACAGGCCCAGGTCAGGTGCACCTCACCACTATGACAGGAATATAGGTACTGTGGGAAGCGCTCCTGAATCCACCAAGATCAAGAAGGAGGGCTCTTCCCTGGGGACATCCTGTGTCGCAGAGAAGGGGGCCCCCAGCTCAATCTATGTCGAACCTGGGAAGGGCTGACACCCTGGCAAAGAACGTGCAGGAACCAGGTGGGGCCGGGACGAGCAGGCGGCGTCAGGGCCTGAGTTCATCCTTCCATTTCTGCAGCTTCTCGTCCAGGGCCTGGAGCGTGGACTCATCCTGCACCAACACAGATCGGTCCTACCCCTCTCCCCATACCACCAGTGGGCCACGGGGAGCTTGAGGAGGCCCTCTCTCCCCACCAACCCCGTCCTTTACCTTCACAAAACAGAAGCGGATATAGTGGTCAAAGTGCTTCTGATGTGGCTTGCTGTAGAAGACGGAGACCGGGATGGCCGCCAAGCCCTGGGGAGGAGGAAGCCCATGTCTCAACCCCGCCCCACAGCATGGCAGGCCTTGACTCTGGGGGGCAGAGAGCTTCCCACGATGGGCTGGGGCAGGGAGAGTTCGCTTCGGTGCAGCACCTCTCAGTGCTGGGTCAAGGTCAGCGGAAAGGAATGGCAGAGCATCGTTCCCAGTCCCTCCCTGTGTACAGAGGGGAGGTGGAGGCTGCCAAGGGGGGCAGCGCCACGTGGCAGGTCAGGGCAGAGCCAGAGAAGAAATCAGCCTTAGGGTCAGAGCTCAGAGCTGGATGAGCTCGGGGTTAATGCACCAACTCTGCACCGTACAGACGAGACGGCCGAGGCCCTGGGAGCCCAGGGATGCCTGCCAGGCCACACAGCATCTTTTTGCAAATTCCAGACACAGATGCACCCCGGTACTAGGGCTGATGGCAGAGGCTGGGCTGGATAGGGGCTCGGCCTCTAAAAGCACCCACAGGGGCCCTGGCCGAGCCCGGCCCACCTTGTTCCTGATCATCCACTTGACGAAGCGTCTGTCGTAGGGCTCATCCACATCACCTGGCAAGTCGGGCATCTTGCTCTCTGGAGGACAGAAGCCACACTGAGCCCTGGGCCACCTCCAACACCCGGCCCCCCTCCGCCCAGCCTGGCCAGTCCTGCTCACTGAAGTCTGAGATGTCTGCGATGAGGAAGTAGCTGCCCTGGGGGACCACGGGCCTCAGGCCCACAGACTGCAGGCTGCGAACCATGTGGTCCCGGGAGCGCCACATGGCTTGGGGAAGCTGCACAAAGTAGCTGCTAGGTTGGCCAAAGTGCAGTTGCTCGTGCTGGAAGCTCTGGGCCACCGCGGCCTGAGGAGGGCGGGTGTGCACACGGGGGGAGGGGTGGGGGGGTGGGACGGTTGGTGGCGTGATCGGACCGGGCTCTGTGGCGGCCCCGCTCCCCACGGCAGGGTGCCCTGACTCTCCTCACCTGGCCCTGCGTGGGACAGTGATAGACAGTGTTCTGGTGCACGGTGCGCAGGTGCTTCATGAGACTGTCCGGGCCCAGGGCCCAGCCCACCTGGACCGGGAACACGGGGAGGGGGTGAGGCCCTTCAGGGCCTGGCCAACCCCCTTCTTGATTCCCAGTGCAGCCTCGCCTGCCCCGGATCATGGGGGGAGGAGGTACCCAACCCTCGTCGACTCACCTTCCAGCCAGTGGCACTGAAGCTCTTGCCAGCGCTGCCAATGGTCAGGGTGCGTTCCCACATGCCAGGGAGGCTGGCTGCCCAAGGCCAAAGAGAGTAGCTGCTGAGACTGGGGGTGAGGGGCAGGGGAGGGGTGGTGGCCGGGCCCCCGGCACACACTCGGGCTCTCGGCACCCCGGCCCCTGCTATGTGCTGAGCTATTTCCAGGGCTCATCTAGCTCCTGTTCATGACCACCCCGGGAGGCTGTGCCCTGTGTCCTCCCGCTCTCAGAGAGGCGAAGTCACTGCCCCAGGTCACTGCCTAATCACGGGGCCTGCTCGGACTCCCAGACTGGGCTCAGGGCCCTGCCACAAATGTCCACGGGAATGGAGGCCCCCAGGCTGGCGTGGCTCACCAATGCTGACATGCTGGTGCCCGTCATAGACCAGCCACTGGTAGACCTCGTCACTGATGCAGATCACGTCATGCTGCTGGCACAGGCTGGCCACCAGCTCCAGTTCTGCCTTGGAGAACACCTGTGGGGACCACCCCCAAGCAGAGAGGTCTGCTCAGAGAGATGAACGGATACCACCGAGTTCGCTGCTAAGGGCTTTTCCATCCCATCCTATTGAATCCCTTGCAACACTGACCCTGGGAGGTCTGCTGTGAGCTAACAGAAAACATACATGTTGGTCTCTGCCCCCTGGTTCCTGGCACAGAGTTCCTAAAACCCTTGTAAATGTCTCAAGTCACAGGGGCACTGGGAGCATCTCTTGTTCTAATGTTCAGTCTTTGACGCCTGACACAGGGGTCCTAAAGCCCAAGTAAATTCCTAAATGAAAAGAGCACTAGAAGTGTTTTTTGTTCTAACCCAGAGGTGACTCTGGGTGGGCACCTGGGTAGCTCCAGGATCAGGGCTGGTCACCAGAATGGCCAAGCCACGATTACAAGCTTGGAATTTCAGCCCCACCTGCATCCTACAGAGAAGGGAGGGGCTGGAAATGAGTTAATAATAATTAATCACGGGACACCTGGGTGGCTCAGTTGGTTAAGCACCTGCCTTCAGCTCAGGTCATGATCCCAGGGTCGGTTTCCCTGCTCAGTGGGAAGTCAGCTTCTTCCTCTCCCTCTGCCCTTCCCCCGGCTCATGCACACGTGCTCTGTCTCTCTCTCTCAAATAAATAAAATCTTTAAAAAATTATAATAACGAGGCCTATGTGAGGAAGCCTCCATAAAATCCCAACAGTACAGTGTTTGGAGTGCTCCCAGATTGGTGAACACATCCATATACTGGGAGGGTGACACAGCTCCTCAGGATCCTCCCAGACCTCGCTCTGTGTATCTCTTCATCTGGCTGTTGTCTCCTTTCTCATTTATATCCTTTAATAAACTAGTAAACCTAAGTGTTTCCCCGAGTTCCGTGAGCGGTGCCAGCAAATTAATAGAACCCGAGGAGGACGGGGTGGGAACCTCAAATTTATAGCCCGTTGGTCAGAAGCAGAGGTGACAAGCTGGGCTGGCATCTGAAGGGCGGGCAGCCTTGTGGGACTGAGCCCTGACCTACGGGATCTGATGCTACCCCAGCTGGTGTTGCAGAGTTGCCGGGTGTGGGGTCCCCCACACCTGGGGTCAGAGTGTCCTAAGTGCAGTGGTCATATGAGGGGAGACACACCCAGTTGGACAACTGGATTTTCCTGTACATCAGTTCTGTCATGTTCCCATTTTACATACGAGAAGACATTCCGAGAGGTGAGGTCACCATTCCCAGGATCTCCGGGGTCATGGAGGCACCCAGTCTGCTCCACTGGCCAGCACTTATACCTTCCAAGGGGATTCCTGCCCCTGTCCCTGGGACCCTGGGGAGCCTCGGTCCTCAGAGCTCATTACACATTGCCCTCCCATTTCACAGATGAAGAAACTGAGGCCCGACACAGCAAATCAGTAACATAGCAGGGACTTGAACCCAGTCTGGAGGGGTCCCTGAAAGGAGGTCTCTCAGGTACCTTTCCCAAGGGGTTGTTGGGTGTGTTGAGGATTAGGGCTTTGGTACGAGAGGTAAACTTGCTGGCCAGCTCTGCGGGGTCCAGCTGCCAGTTACTGGCGGAATCCAGTTCCCCATCCTCGGTAGGGCTCTGTAAGAGGAGGTGGAAGGGGGCAGCAATTAATAAGCTACCTGACATTCAGCTCCAAGGATCTGGCCTTCCTTCATAGGCATCTGTCCCCACCCTCTCTCCTCTGGGACTCTGGATACCCCTCCCCGTCCTGGAGCAACCGGCCTCCTTTCCTTCCTTCTTTCCCACCTCCCAGGGGCCAACACAACACACTCCTTGGACCCCTCTGCCCACCCATACCCCAACCAGCATCCTCACCGGCTTCAGGGTCACAAACACAGGGTGACCCCCTGCCATCAATGTCATGGGTTCATAACAGTCAAAAAAGGGCTCTATGATGATGACCTAGCAAAAGGATCAGATTAGCTGGGGTCAGTATCGCCCCTTGCCCCTCATCCCTACCCAGCCCGAGCCTTGCTCACTCACCTCATCTCCTTCATCCACCAGGGCCTGGAAGGCTGTGAACAGGGCCCCATAGGCACCCACAGTCACCAGCACGTTCTTGAGTGGGTCTATCTCCTGTTCCAGCAGCTTCCCAAAGAAACTTGCCAGGATCTTTGTCAGGGGTGGGTAACCCTGCCAGGACAGCAGCGGTCAGTCGCCTGGCTCAGCTTGGGCCCACCCTCCTGCTCAGCTGCATTCAGGCAGTTCTAGCACTTTCCAGCAGCAGGCCTGAGGCAAAACGGGCTCCTATACGGTGAGTTCTTTCATTTCCTCCACCAGCGCTGGCCATCAAACCTGTTCCGTGCAGGCCCAAAGACCAGGGCTAGGATTTGGTGGAGAACTGGACAGAGTGCATGACTTTGTGGAGCACTGTCCAACAGAGCCCTACAGCAGTGGCAACTCCACGATTTAACCCCCTCCCTCTCAGTTTAAGAAGCACATCCATGCCATCTGCTCAGCCCAGTAGCCCTCGCAAGACACGTATTATTTGATCCCCACCATTTGACAGGTAGAAGAACGGAGACCCAGAGACAGGAAATGACTTGCTCAAGGTCATGCACAGTTGAGGTGCAGGAATAGGACTTTATGGAAGCACCCCACCTTGAGAGGAAGGTTGGATCTGTACACTTGTTTGCTGAGGACACTTATAAAACACTCGAGGCTAAGCCAAAGGACTGAAACCCCAAGGTCTAGACCTTCACTAAATAATTCACTCAACCAGACTTGACCATGTAAAAATTAAAAATTTCTGTATGGCAAAATATACCAGGAGCAAAGTTAAAAGACAAAACATTGCAAACTAAGAGAAAGAGGTAAGATGTTTAATCTATAAAGAGCTCTTATAAAACAACAAGACAAAGATACAGACCCAAATGAGAAAATGGAGTCGGTCATGAAAGAAGAAGTACTGGGTTCATACACATACCCAATAACTGAAGAAAAGCAAATAAAAGCAACAATGAAATATTGCTATAAGAACATATCAATTAAGCATCTGCCTTCGGCTCAGGTCATAATCCTGGAGTCCGGGATCGAAGTCCCGCATCGGGGTCCCAGCTCCTTGGGAGCCTGCTTCTCCCTCTGCTTCTCTCTCTCTCTCTCTCTCTCTGTCTTTCATGAATAAATAAATAAAATCTTAAAAAAAAAAGAACATATCAGTATTAGGGGCGCCTGGGTGGCTCAGTTGTTGGGCATCTGCCTTCGGCTCGGGTCATGATCCCGGGGTCCTGGGATCAAGCCCCACATCGGGCTCCCTGCTCGGCGGGAAGCCTGCTTCTCCCTCTCCCACTCCCCCTGCTTGTGTTCCCTCTCTCGCTGTGTCTCTCTCTGTCAAATAAATAAATAAAATCTTTAAAAAAAAAAGATTTAAAGAAAATCTTTAAATATCAATCTTTAATATTGATATTTAATATCAATATTAAAAAGATGGATAATGCCCACGGCTGGCAAGAGTATGAGACCAGGGCGCCTGGGTGGCTCAGTTGGTTAAGTGACTGCCTTCGGCTCAGGTCATAATCCTGGAGTCCGGGATCGAAGTCCCGCATCGGGCTCTCTGCTCGGCAGGGAGTCTGCTTCTCCCTCTGACCCTCTTCCCTCTCGTGCTCTCTATCTCTCATTCTCTCTCTCTCTCAAATAAATAAATAAAATCTTTAAAAAAAAAAAAAAGAGTATGAGACCAGTGTGTTGGTGGGGATGTGAGTAAACCTTTTTGGAAGGCAGTTTGACAACATCCATCACATCTTTAAATGCTTGCACCCTTTGACTCTCTAGTTTTATTTCCAGGGATTTGTCTCAGAGAAACGCTCACACGTGTATAAAAATATAGACACACATATATTCACTGTGCCATTGCTTATAATAGTGAGACAGCCAAACGAGCCCATCAGTGCAGGGCTGGTTCAATAAATTATGGCACAGCTAGGCAAGGGAATACTATGTGGCCCTTAAAAAGAATGAGGCTATTCTGACATGGAAAGTCGCCCATGACATGCTGTTTAGTGAAATAAACAAGCGACAGAGCATTATAGTACGAGTCCATTTGTGCTAAAAAACGCTAATCTCATTATGTGAGTGTGTGTGCGTTTATACAAGCACGTTAAAAAGTTAAAAGTTTAAACGTCTAAACGCTCAGCAAAGTAGCAAACTATTGGTCGTAGTTATCTCTGGATGGTGGAATTGGAGGAAATTCCCCCCAGGTAATTCTGATGTATACCAAAGTTTAAGAACCATTTACTGCTTTACTCAACCAAGGACTGGCAAATACCTACTCTGCGACCTTTACATAAAGAGTTTGGATTTAGAGTCAGATCAGTCAGCTGCTTGTCTTTCGAGACTCAGCTTCCGGGTCACCTCCTCCAGGAAGCCTTCTCTGGTCTCCCCAGATTTCATTCCCTTCTTCCTGCTCCCAGAGCACCCCATCCTCCCTTTTAACAGTATATCAATACCTTTGTTCTGCTTTTGTTTTATTTATTTAGTTGGTCTGCTTTTCCTACTAGACCCTGAGCTCCCAGCTCATGTTTTTTTGTCTGTCTTTCCCCAGACCATGAGCTGTCCCAGGGCCTGGAACAGAGGAGACACTTGGTGAACACTGAACTATAGTCACACTGACTTCTCTGGGCTCTGCTCCAGAACACTGACACCCATGTGGGCCTGATGCTCAGAAAGGCCTGACCCTTCCTCCCCCCAGGGCCTCCTTGAGGCCTGTGTCCCAGGGCCCCAGGCGCGGCAGAGAGACTCACAAATGCCTTGGTGTACTGGTTGAGCATGAAGTCACTGCTGAGGGCGAGCTGAAAGGCTTGAACTGCGAAGTCTGGGGGTGGGAAGTCAGGGAAGCCTTGGCCCAAGTTTACGACATCATACTCACTGGCCATTTTGCCAAACTCCACCCTGAGCAACAAATGGAGAGTTGACACCAGTCCGCCTAGACCTGGACTTCCACCTGTTTCCAGGGCAAATAAACTTCCACCTGTTCATCCAGGGCAGGATGAACAATGCACTGGGCTCATTCCAGAAAAACTGGATGGTTAGCGTCTGCTCCAGTTGAGATCCTGCTGAGATCTGTGTAAGGGTCAAAACTGGTCCTCGCTTTGGGATTATGTAGCCCAAGCACTGTGCCAATCCCGCGTCCTACTTTTTTAAAGTAGGCTCCATGCCCCCACGTGGAGCCCGGCATGGGACTTGAACTCACAACCCTGAGATCAAGTCCTGAGCTGAGACTGGGAGCCAGACGCTCAACTGACTGAGCCAGCCAGGTGCCCCTATCCTACCCATTCTTCAGAAATATTTGTTGAGACTTCCTAAGTGGATTTCACGAACCACAGTTTGAAATGTGTGCTCAGTAACCTTCCCATACATATGACGTATGTCCTATTCCTGAGTCACAATGGGGATGGAGAAGCTGAGGCTGGCGGTGATTTGCCCAAGGACTCCCAGTTAGTTCATGGCCCAGCCAGCCTTTGATTCAACATCGGATGGAAGCAAAGTTCATGCTCTAGACCATTAGCCTGGACAGACTGGGGCCCCACCAGCCCCGCCATCTGCCATTTCTGGCCCCCAACAACCTTTCTTCTGGCCCTGGCTTGTGGCCACCTTCTCAGGGAAACAGAGAGAGGCTGAGAGGCTGGATGAGGAGCCTGGTGTGTGGTTGCAGGTTGGTTGGGGGCAGAGAAGTCAGCCTTGGCTGTGTTGAATTTGCCTAACAATATTGTTCCATCTAAAAGCTGTCATTTTCTCCCCAGAGCCCCACAATACCTCTGAAGTTGCTGAGGCTCAGAGAGGCTAGTGACCTGCCCAGAGTCACATAGCAGCTGAGGGTAGAGCTGAGATGCAAAATTAGGTGGCGGATGTTCCATGGTGATTGGAACAGGGGAACCAGGCTCAAGTGCCCTACAGAGACCAGCTGCCCTCTAGGTTGGGTCTCTAAGGTCCTGATCCTCAGGCCACCACTCTGGGGTTAGCAAGAACTTGGGGCCCTTTTGTCCTGACTACCATCGCCTTCGTCCCCCGGCAACCCCCCCACCCCGTCCTGTACATTCTCCACAGGCCTGCTTCTGCCCTGCCCTGCCTTTGCATGAGACTTGGCCTCTCTTGGCCTCAATCTCCCTTTCTGCATAATGGGGGTGTTGGGTTCAAGAGTCTGCCAGGTCTGTGAGTCAGGAAAGAGTCTTGCTGCCTCTCCCAGCCTGCCTCTTGTCATTTCCTCCCTTGGAGTTAGACTCTTACCTTATCTGCAAAGGTCCACGAGGCTAACCAGCCTCTGTCACAGACAGGATGGAACGTGGTACAACCCAGGGGGCAGCTGGACGCTAGAGGAGTGGGGCTGGGGCTAGAGGAGTTTTGGGCCTGGCTCCTCTGTCCCAAACACCATGGAGCATCAGGTGGAAGATCTTTGCAAAGCACAAAGTGCTGTACACGAGGGGGGTTTGAAAAAAAAAATGGGGGGGTGCACCCTGGTGGCTCAGTTGGTTGAGCGTCCAACTCTTGATTTTGGCTGCGGTCCTGCTCTCCCGGTCGTGAGATCGAGCCCTGCATCGTGCTGCTTGCTGGAAATGAAGCCTGCCTGGGATTCTCTCTCCCTCTCCCTCTGCCCCTCCCCCCATCTCCCAACCCTCCCATGTGACCACACCTGCTCGCTCTCTCTAAAAAAGAAAAAGAAAAAGAAAAAAGATGGTCTCATGTTTTGTAAAAACAACAGCCAACAACTTTTTTTTGAAAGTACAGTGATGTTGGGGCGCCTGGCTGGCTCAGTGGGTAGAGCATGTGACTCTTATCTTCTGAGTTTGAGCCTCTATGCTGCTGGCCAAAGGTTGGGGGGGAGGGATCAGGAAAAAATCCCTACATTTCTCTTACACACCTTCCCACTGCATCCATTGTGTTAGTAGTAACAATGGGCACATGCTTCTTTCATATTTAGAACAAGTCAACAGAGAAAAGAAATTAACCTCAGCAAATTCCAGTGCAGAGCTGCCTGTATTTTACCTTACCTTACTTAGTGTATTTTACTCTGTACTAAGTGGGAAATAAAATAATCCCTGGAAAGCGCCGAGCCTGGTGCCTGGGTAAGAGCAGGTGAGTCTCCCCCCCTTCCGCCCGGCGCCACAGCCAAGCGGGGTGAAGCTGAGATTCGAAACCAGGCCTGCTGCTCCCGGTCTCACGTCTCCCAGGCTGTGGCTGCAAATCTCACAGTCCGGGGCACGGCGGCCGTCCTGGGTACCGCCGCATTACTGCAAACCCAGGCACCTCCAGCCCTGTCCCGCCCTCACGCCCGAGGGGACACCCACATGCTTCCCCAGCCCTGCCGAGCTCACCATGGGTTGTGGTCAATCCCGTCCAGCCTGCGAGCCGGCAGCCGCTTGGCCATGGCGAACTGGAGACCAAGTAAGCAGAAGGTCAGAGTGCTGGAGATGGGGCTCTTACCTGACCCCAGCCCCGCCCCCTCGTGGTAGAGGTGCAGATCCGCACTCTCCGAGCGCAGCACCGGCTCCCGCCCGCCTCCGGCCTCACCCCGCCCCATTCCGGCCGCCGCACTTGCCCCACCCACCAGCCGGGCTCCTCGTGTCGGTAGACTCAGACCAGATTCGGACCAGTTAGGCAGGACTGAGGAGGAAGAGGGGCGAGGGCGAGGGCGAGGGCGAGGGGGAGGGGCAGAGGGAGGGAGACGAGAGCTTGCCCACATGACGGCAGCGGCTCCCCTTTAGGATGGTCTTGCTAAGCTCAGCACAGTCTGGCTGGTCCCATTTTATAGATGAGAAAAATCGCGTTTTTAAAAATAATTTTTTTAAAGTAAACGTTACGCCCCATCTGGGGCTCCAGCTCACGACCCTGAGATGAAGAGTCGTATGGTCTACCTACTGAACCAGCCAGGTACCCAAGAAGAATAATATCTATTTTAGAAGAATATCTATCAATGGATATGCCGACATCAATAACACGGGCTACAAAACAGTATGTACAGTATGAGTATGTTTTGTAAAAAAATATACCCTACTATATATTTGTATACACGTACATTTTTCTATAACCATATATGAGTGGACGGAAAAAAAAGTTTGGAAGGGAAATACATCAGAATGTTAACAAAGGTTCTCTCTGAGTGGTGGAATTATAGGTGATTTAATTTCATGTGTGTGCTTTTCTTTCTTTCTTTTCTTTCTTTCTTTCTTTCTTTCTTTCTTTCTTTCTTTCTTTCTTTCTTTCTTTCTTCTTTCTTTCTTTCAAGTTTATGTATTTAAGTAATCTTTACACCCAACGTAGGGCTCAAACTCATAACCCTGAGATCAAGAGTTGCATGCTTTTCCAACTGAGCCAGCCGGGTGCCCCATGTGTATGCTTTTCTATGGTTCCAATTTTTTTGTATGGAGATTACACCATATTGGATTGATTCTGATATGGGCCTTTTTTTTTTTTTTGGCCTTGCATGTTCTCTGAATTCAAATGTTTCTCAGAATCTCTAGCATGTCTAATTGGCATTTCCCGCCCCGCTTTACTAGTCCATACAATAACAGTGTATCTTACACTGATGGTATCATGGTTCCAATGCTATAAGGAATTATTTTTGAATTGGGGATGCATCATATTTAAAAAAATAGAGGGGCGCCTGGCTGGCTTAATCAGTAGAACATGTAACTCTTGATCTCGGGGTTGTGAGTTCAAGCCCCATGTTGGGTGTAGAGATGACTTAAAAATAAAATCTTAAAAAAATGAAGATGAAGGTCGGGGAGATGGGGGATGCAAGTTGGAGCAAGGGAAGTTTGAGAAGGTTGGGGTGGGGTATGGGGTAGGGGGTACAGAGGCATAGAGAGAGAGAGAGAGAGAGAGAGAGAACAAAGGAGGTGAATGGAGGTGAATGAGAATAGGAAGGAGGTAAATATAATGGGACCACAGAAACTTGGGGGAACTCAAAGGTGTCACCTTCAAGTATGTCACACAGTGATTGCATAAGTGAGGAAACAGTGCCTGTTCTTGGCCTTATGTATAATGTATTGCTCAGCCAATGTCTATTGAGCACCTACTGTGTGCTGAACACTGGGCTGGGCTTAGGGGATGATGGGGAGGTAGCACAGCACCATGCAGACCATTCAGATGCAGAGCTACAAGTTCTCCTTAGAGGAAAGGCAAGGCAAGGCAAGGCAAGGGTCCCCTCCAGGCTACAGTCAGGGAAGGCAACCTGAAAGAAGAGCGTCATGCACAGCTTTGAAGCCAGGACCATGCCAGATCACAGGGGCCCTGGGTTGGGCAGCAAAACACATGGGGCTAGAGCACTTACAGTCTGGTGCAAGCACCGAGCGAGAGAAGTTCCAGCCTTCTTTCTCTGGAAGACCCCGGCCAGGTGCAAATGGATGGCTGTCACATTCCTGAACATGCCTCCCAGAGCCTTGGGACACTGGTGACTTCTCCTCCAGGGCAGAGGAGAGGGAGGAGAACGTTCTGGCCAAAAAATGGCTCCGAGGCCAGGGCGTGGGTCCCCCACACACAGCTCTAACAACAACAACAACAGCAACAGTAAGAGCTAATATTTATTGACTGGTCACTCTGTGCCAGGCATGGCAACAAATGCTTTCTTGCATGATTATCCCTCACACCTGTTGCCCCCTGACCCCCAGCAATCAGAGTGACCCTTTCAAAATGTAAATTACCTCTAAGGGCTGGGGCGGGGGGAGGTCCAGGTAAAGATCATGAATGACCCCTAACATCACAGGGAGAGTCAACCCTACATTATGTTCTGACTCCGGAAACACACACACCTCCTGCAAATTATTCCTGTGCTAAAACCAAATCTGAATCAGATCATGCCGCTGGATTACTAAAACACAAGGGACAGAAGAATGTGTTAGATGACACCATGGAGAGGTGATCCACAAATGACCCTGTTTCTTCAACAAATAAAGTAAAAGGGAAAAAAGGTCCAGGGCATGATAGATTAAAAGAGAATTAAAAGACATACATTTAGGGCGCCTGGGTGGCTCAGTCGTTAAGCGTCTGCCTTCAGCTCAGGTCATGATCCCAGGGTCCTGGGATCGAGTCCCACATCGGGCTCCCCGCTCAGCGGGAAGCCTGCTTCTACCTCTCCCACTCCCCCTGCTTGTGTTCCTGCTCTTGCTGTCTCTCTCTGTCAAATAAATAAATAAAATCTTAAAAAAAAAAAAAAAAAGACATACATTTAAAAAATGAATGCCCGGGGCACCTGGGTGGCTCAGTCATTAAGCATCTGCCTTCAGCTCAGGTCATGATCCCAGGGTCCTGGGATCGAGCCCCGCATCAGGCTCCCCGCTCCATGGGAAGCCTGCTTCTCCCTCTCCCACTCCCCCTGCTTGTGTTCCCTCTCTCTCTGTGTCTCTCTCTGTCAAATAAATAAAATCTTAAAAAAAAAAAAGAATGAATTTGTACCCCTACCTCACAACATACACAAAACTAACTCAGAGTGGATCATGGACCTAAATACAAGAGCCAAAAATATAAAACTCCCGGAAGAAAACAGGAAGTCTATCTTTGTGATCTTGAATTAGAAGAGTTTCTTAGGTATGACACCAAAAGTGCAGGCAACAAAAGAAAAGAACAGATAATATGGCCTTCACCAAAATTAAAAACTTTTGTGCCTCAAAGAACACCATCAAGAAAGTGAAAAGATAAAAGTATGGGGGTAAGTATTTGTGAATCATAAATCTGAATTTCTCCAAGGAAGATACATAAATGGTTAATAGGCACATGAAAAGATGCTCAACACCCTTAGTCATTGGGCAAATACTACTTTACACCTACTAGGATGGCTACAACAAATATCAGGGATAATTACAAGTGTTTCAAGGATACATGAAGTTTATCAGCTAGAAACTTACATGGCAAAACAAATTCTCTTTATTTTCATTTCTTAGAGGTTTTATTTATTTATTTATTTATTTGAGAGAGGGAGAGAGAACATGAGTGGGGAGGGACATCCCTAGATCAACAAAATGTGGTAAATCCATGTAATAGAATATCATTCAGCAATAAAAGGGGATGAGGTTCTGACACCTGCTGCAAAACGGATGAAGCTTGACAATGAAGCTTGACAACGTTGTGCTAAGTAAAAGAAGCCAATCACAAAAGACCACACATTACACGATTCCATTTATACAAAATAGGCAAAGCTCTAGAGATAGTAAATCGGTGATTGCCTTGGGCTAGGGGTGGGAGTCTGGGGGCAGAAATGAGGACTGACTGCTACGGTTACTGGCTATCTTTTTGGTGTAATGAAAATGTTCTAAAATTAGATTGTGGTGTGGCCATACTAAAAACCAGTGAACGGTACACTTGGAATGGTTGAGTTAGATGGTATGTGCTTAGCATTATATTTCAATAAAACGGTTTTTAAAAACCACCAAGGTTTAGGGGCGCCTGGCTGGCTCAGTCGGTGGAATGTGCGACTCTTGATCTCTAGGTCGTGAGTTTGAGCCCCACACTGGGCGTAGAGATTACTTAAAAATAAAAAAATCTTTAGGGGTGCCTGCGTGGCTCAGTTGGTTAGGTGTCTGACTCTTTTTTTTTTTTTAAAGATTTTATTTATTCATATGAGAGAGAAAGAGAGACAGGGGGAGAGGCAGAGGGAGACGGAGAAGCAGACTCCCAGGGAGCTGGAAGCCCGACATGGGGCTCAATCCCAGGACCAGGAGACCATGACCCAAGCCAAAGGCAGACACCCAACCATCTGAGCCACCCAGGTGCCCCCTCCCCTTTTTTTAGGTGTCTGACTCTTGATCTCAGCTCAGGTTTCAATCTCAGGGTCTTTTTTTTTTTTTTTTAAGATTTTATTTATTTATTTGACAGACAGAGATACAGCGAGAGAGGGAACACAAGCAGGGGGAGTGGGAGGGGGAGAAGCAGGCTTCCCGCGGAGCGGGGAGCCCGATGCGGGACTTGATCCCAGGACCCAGGGATCATGACCTGAGCCGAAGGCAGACGCTTAACGACTGAGCCACCCAGGCGCCCCCAATCTCAGGTTCTTGAGTTCAAGCCCAGCACGGAGCCTACTTAAAGAAATAATAATAATAAATAAATAAATAAATGACCTTAAAAAATTGAAATTAAATAAAAATCACCGAGGTTATAAAAAAAAAAAAAAGGCAGTACCATTGCGGAGGCCACAATAATGTGTCTCTCTGACTGGCAGGAGCCTAACTGACTGAGGAGACAGCTGTGCTCAGAAATACATCCCAGGTCCTTAGCACTAAGGCCAGGCTTCCATGTGCTTCCCTGGCTGCCCCGGCCAGTGTCTGAAAGACAGCGAGGTCGGCTGTCGCTGGGAGACAGGGCACTCCCGAGGACTCCCATTGGTTTTGCTGAAATTTTCTTTCTAAAAATTTTTATTTATTTTTTTAAAAGATTTTCATTTATTTATTCATGAGAGACAGAGAGAGAGAGAGAGGCTTTTCTGAGAATTGCACTGCCGTCTGAGACTTTTCCTTCCAGCCTTCCTTTCTTCCCTCTCTCCTCCAGGGGGGTTAGACCACAGCACTGAAAAAGAGGCGAGGGTTTGGGGGTCTGGGGCGGTGCTGCCAAAGAGACCCAGTAAGCAAATGCAACATATGACCCCTTGGATTGGTGACAAGAACAGTGAAAGGGTATCCTAAAGGGTATCTGTGGCACAACTGGAGAAATCTGAATATGGCCTGTCCATCAGAGGGCATGATGGAATCACTGGTCAATTTCTCTGGGGGTGATAATGAGGGGTGTTTATGTGGGGGGATGGCATTCTTAGGAAGCACATGAAGCTTTTAGGAGTGAAGAGTCAGGATGTCTGCAGTTTGCTTTCAAAAGATTCAGCAAAGACATTTATATACAAGGGCAGGGCAGAGTGAGGCGGTTGCAAATGCAGTGGACGTGAGCAAGGGCTGAATCTGGGGGCTAGGCAGACGCGTGGCCACTGCACGGTTCTTTTACCTTTTCTGTAGGTCCGACTTTGTCAAAACAGAAAGCTGAGAGGCAAAGGAGACAACTGAATGCAATGCATGGGCATCTGGGATTGTGATTCCAAAAAACCGGCTATAAATGGTTCCCCCCTCCCATCCTGGGCGCCCCGAGGGGCAAGCACTCAACAAAAACCCACCAAGCTGCTTATTCCTTATCAATCTCTTAGGAAAGTATGGAAAATTTGGTAACTGATTGACCAAGCAGGGTTACAGGAGAGGGAAGAACGAGCTGAACTGGACCTCTTTGACCCGAGGATGTGGGGCTCAGAGCCAGAGATAGAGAGAGATAGAGAGAGAGAGAGAGAGAAAGCATGCACACCCTGGAGGTTGCATGTGAAGAAAACCCACCTCTACCCCCAGGGCGAACCAGAGAGAAAGAGGCTGCTTGGTTTTGAGCTAGGCACCCCAGGTTCCCCAGGTAATGGCTCTCTAGCCTCCCTGGGACCCCCCTCCCCCAAGCTTGACTACTTAGGACTCGTTAGTTCTCATTTCAGGTTTGAATCTATGCCAGGCAGGAAAGGTTGAGTGGAGCACAGCATCCTTAGCCACTGTGTCTCAAGGGTGGTCCTCTGGGAGCGGGCTGTGGGCCCCGGGGTGGGAATGTCCCCGAGCAAAGCTGCATTAGACTTGTAAATATCTAGACATCCACTGTGTGGGCTCCATTGAGGGTCCCCAAATGTTAGGGGTGAATCTGAGGGACAAATGTGAACACTGCGTATTGTATGATATGAAGAAATCAGTAATTTATCAGCTGTGCTAATGGTATTGGAAATTTCTTTCTTTCCTTTTAACAGTCCTTCTATTTTAGAGATGTCTTTTGAAGTATTAACGACATAATAGCTGGGATTTGCTTCAGAATAATCCAAAACGATCCAGATGGTGGAAGTAGGAAGCGGGTGGGGGAATAGAAGTAAGCCAGGCCATGGGTGGAGACTGGGGGGGTTAATATAGTCTACGCTCTACTTTTGTATATATTTCGAATGTTCCACATGCCTGAGGTGGAAATCACAGCCACAACATGGAAGGAGCCTGGGGCCCTGTGGTCGTGGAACCATCAATTATCTCCGGACTTAGTGGGGAGGAGGGGATGGATCTTGGATGGATCTTGTTCAAGCTGCTGTTATTTTGGTTTCTCTTTCATTAACAGGAAATTAGGCCTGACGGCTAAACCCTGTCCATGCCCTCAGCCCCAAACCACCAGGAGCACAGCCGTGATGGAGAAGTTGCAGTGAGGGAACGTGCACGCCAGGGAGCTCTGGGGTCTCAGCGAGAGGCTCTTCGAACTTATTATGGGATTTGGACTTTGGTGGAGTGATTTGGGGGAGGGTCCAGGGACGCTAGATTGGTGTTTTCAGAAGCCGGGATCACTTTATGGTTGGATATCACACTGATCTTTTTTTTTTTTAAAGGTTTTATTTATTAATTTATTTGAGAGAGTGCGTGCGTGTATGAGCGGGGGGAGGGGCAGAGGGAGAGGGACAAGCCGACTTCCCGCTGAGTGCAGAGCCCAAAGGCGGGGCTCAATCT